CACCAGGACCACACACAACCCAGAGCCGAAACTAAGATATCAGGCGCCCAGTCCGACAGCTGTGAACAACAACGACATCACGCAGCTGAGAGACGAAATTAAATCCCTGCGAGAAGAGAACGCAAAAATCAGGGCACTCAGGACTCAAGACAGGGACGAGATGCTAGACCTGAGAAACATCCTGCAGGCAGCACTCGAGACCCAAAGGAGACTCGAGACGGAAAATGCAGAAATGGCGAAGTTCAAAACAGACTTGATGGCAAATCTAACCGACCTCGAGAAGTTGAAGGAAGCAGATGCAGTAGCCGCCAAAGAACTGAAAGACAACCAGAAAAGTATACTTTCCGAGATAGCCACCATCAAGAAAGACCTGGCAAAAACAAAAGCAGAGGTAGCCGAGGCAAACAATGAATGCGACAAACTCAGCACTGTACTCGAAGCCACGCACAGAGTGATAGAAGCCAGAGAAAACGCGAAGAAAGAAAAAGACAGAAAAAGGCAGATCCACGACGCACACGTGAAACCCGGAGACCTGGAGAAGAAGTGCACACAAGACCTGTACATCCTCAAGGAATGCCTGAAAGGCGATTTCGCAGCAATAAACAAGGAGATGAAGCAACTTAAAGAGGCCACCCGGCATCTTCAACTCGAAAGCATAAGAAACAACAAAACGAAGATAGCAGCCCACTCAAACGGAAACGACGCCCACGTGAAGTAGCAAATTGAAAGCCAACATCCAGCAACCAATGAAAACCGCAAAAGCCGCCATGACAGCTGAACAACCACGCCCAACAGCCCGGAGAAACCTCACAGCCCACAACCAGATGACACAATGTCCGCCGCCCGAGCCACGCCCACCTACCTCACTCTGACAGAAGCAACAAACCTCAGGCAGAAATGTCAATCGCCACAACAGAAACGTAAATAACTGGAGAACAAAACTCCAGACAACAAAACGCCGCTTCGATATAACCAACGCTCATTCTAGGAGCCGGTTGAAAGAAGCAAGAAGTTTTTCGTTTTTTTACCCACACCAGTACCAGTACTGTGGGTAACTTTCTTTTTCCTTCAGAATGTTACCACAGCAGTTGAAAAATACAGCCGTAGACTTATGATTCCAAATCCTGTAATTCTTTTATTTGCCCAGAGGACCCTCATGTTCTATTCTTTAATTCACATAAGACTGACAATCTGAACATACAAAATTCACCAATTGAAAACAGCCTCAACTGCTGATCTCACAAGAACAACATTTATTATGGGCAAGACAAACACATCATCAAATGAAAAAGATGAGGACAGGTGGTGATTTCTTCTTGTTTACCTGCCTGTTATTGAACACCTGCAGCAGAAGTCCTCAACTACCTCATGCATGCAACGTTTGCCTTATCCTATATCACCTGCCTGTTATTGAACACCTGCAGCAGAAGTCCTCAACTACCTTATGCATGCCAAGTTTGCTGTATCCTTGATCAGGACTTCAGTAGCCACTCTCAAGCCCAAATGAAGCTCTAATCACCCATGACAAATTCATGATTGAGTGTCGTGTTACTGTTCTCTGCTTCACTTAGCAATTCCAGTAACAAACTGATGACTCTAACAACTAACAATTTTACATTTTTTCACCAAAATGTCGCCTTCTGGGATTCCAGCCTGACAGACTGGACAGCCACGGACTTCAAAAGACTGGACAGCCAGGGACTTCAAAAGACTGGACAGCCAGGGACATCAAAAGACTGGACAGCCATGGACTTCAAAAGACTGGACAGCCAGGGACATCAAAAGACTGGACAGCCAGGGACTTCAACAAACTGGACAGCCATGGACATCAAAAGACTGGACAGCCAGGGACTTCAACAAACTGGACAGCCATGGACTTCAAAAGACTGGACAGCCATGGACTTCAAAAGACTGGACAGCCATGGACTTCAAAAGACTGGACAGCCAGGGACTTTAAAAGACTCGACAGCCAGGGACTTCAACAGACTGGAGAGCCAGGGACATCAAAAGACTCGACAGCCAGGGACTCCAACAGACTGGAGAGCCAGGGACATCAAAAGACTCGACAGCCAGGGACTTCAACAGACTGGACAGCCAGGGACTTCAACAAACTGGACAGCCAGGGACTTCAAAGACTGCAGGAGTCAATACTAGAAACACAGTTTAACCAGCAAAAACTAGTAGAATTAAGTCATCGAACGGTTACCCAGTAACCACAACCAACTTACTGAAGGTTGTTTATAGACAAAGAGCAATGTTGAAAGTCTATATATAGTTCATCACTTATTGATTCTTGATCACAAAATGACACCCACTACCAAACAAACTTTTGTTTAACAAATAAAAACATCATAGAAACTGAATTGTCACGCAGACTAAAAAACAAGTCCCGACAGTACAGAGCAGAACAGAATAAATTAATTAAATCAAGACGCGAAACCGATCCACAGCAATTGTAACTTCCCAACAACAATAATTATAGACAGTTAGTTTCTCTCCCAATAATTTACAATGATTTCATGCACTCATTTTCCCCTCACAATTGACAACGATTTCAGACACTCACTTTTCTCTCACAACAATTTGCAATGATTACAATCACTTTTCTCTCACAACAATTTGCAATGATTACAATCACTTTTCTCTCACAACAATTTGCAATGATTACAATCACTTTTCTTTCAAAACAATTTACAATTATTACAGACACTCACTTTTCTCTCACAACAATTTGCAATGATTACAGACACTCACTTTTCTCTCACAACAATTTGCAATGATTACAGACACTTATTTTTTTTTCACAACAATTTGCAATGATTTCTGATATCATACTTAATTGACAGTTACCAGTCTATGTTGACTTGCCTGACACTTGTTCCCAGATTAAAGCACTGGCCCTCAGCCGACTCATGCCGGGTTGTCCTACCTATGGCCACTCCTTCAAGATTACCTGGTGGGTCTCAGGGAAACAACTTTCTGCCAAAAATCTGCAGCGTGATGATAGTATATAGATCCACTCAGATGGTTATGTCAGTGTGATGATAGTATACAGATAGGCCCAGATTGGTTATGTCAGTGTGATGATAGTATACAGATCTGCCCAGCTTGGTTATGTCAGTGTGATAATAGTATACAGATCCACCAAGCTGGGTTATGTCAGTGTGATGATAGTATATAGATCCACCAAGCTGGGTTATGTCAGTGTGATGGTAGTATATAGATCCACCCAGATGGGTATGTCAGTGTGATAATAGTATATAGATCCGCCCAGCTGGGTTATGTCAGTGTGATGATAGTATGCAGATCCACCCAGATGGGTATGTCAGTGTGATAATAGTATATAGATCCGCCCAGCTGGGTTATGTCAGTGTGATGATAGTATGCAGATCCACCAAGCTGGGTTATGTCAGTGTGATGATAGTATACAGTTCCGCCCAGCTGGGTTATGTCAGTGTGATGATAGCATACAGTTCCGCCCAGCTGGGTTATGTCAGTGTGATGATAGTATACAGATCCAACAAGCTGGGTTATGTCAGTATGATGATAGTATACAGATCGGCCCAGATTGGTTATGTCAGTGTGATGATAGTACACAGATCTGCCCAGCTGGGTTATGTCAGTGTGATGATAGTATACAGATCGGCCCAGATTGGTTATGTCAGTGTGATGATAGTATACAGATCGGCCCAGCTTGGTTACGTCAGTGTGATGGTAGTATATAGATCCACCCAGCTGGGTATGTCAGTATGATGATAGTATATAGATCCACCCAGCTGTATATGTCAGCGTGATGACAGTATATAGATCCACCCAGCTGGGTATGTTCAAGTTTGCAAGGGAAGCTGTTGAGACTTGTGGTCAAGTTTGCAAGGGAAGCTGTTGAGACTTGTGGTCAAGTTTGCAAGGGAAGCTGTTGAGACTTGTGGTCAAGTTTGCAAGGGAAGCTGTTGAGACTTGTGGTCAAGTTTGTAAAGGAAGCTGTTGAGACTTGTGGTCAAGTTTGTAAAGGAAGCTGTTGAGACTTGTGGTCAAGTTTGCAAGAGAAGCTGTTGAGACTTGTGGTCAAGTTTGCAAGGGAAGCTGTTGAGACTTGTGGTCAAGTTTGTAAAGGAAGCTGTTGAGACTTGTGGTCAAGTTTGTAAAGGAAGCTGTTGAGACTTGTGGTCAAGTTTGCAAGAGAAGCTGTTGAGACTTGTGGTCAAGTTTGCAAGGGAAGCTGTTGAGACTTGTGGTCAAGTTTGTAAAGGAAGCTGTTGAGACTTGTGGTCAAGTTTGTAAAGGAAGCTATGGAAGGTGCATGAACTAACCACTAAATCATCAAAACCCAACATCACATTTGTCAATTATTACTGTTTTCACAAAATTCACCACCAAAACAAATGACATCATCTCAGCTACACAACCCATGGATGCCTCAAATGTCTGCTATACAATCTTTGATATTCAATTCTGTATGATTCAATAATTCTGGACGATTAACATCAAACAGCTATATATGATGGTGGTATTATTATCACATATATTTACCTCAAAGACAGGAACTCTCATACGCTCTGAGGGTTCTGGAACAAGAGTTTTGATTTACCATTAAAGGCTATGAGGCAATGATTGTACATCTTGTCGTATTTTTAGACAATGGCATATGGTAGTTTTGTCATACAAATCTGTGTCCTGGCAGACATCTCTATATGAGAGACATAAATAAAAATCATGTATGATAGATATCTGCCTCTTTGAACTGTCTCTTCTGTGTGAGGATACCTGGCAATTTTATCAGATGTATCGCGGACATCCAACATTTCCGTACTACACACATCTCATTATTGTGTATGACGAACATTTGACCTCATAATTGATACTCTGTATGGCAGACATCCCAATATTCTATACGACACTATGTAGTTTTGTGTGTGTGTGCCTCCAATGTGGTTTTGACTGACCATGAAGCATCAACAAGGAACAAAGGAATGCATGGAAGAGCTCAATATATCCAGGCCTCACAAACTCTGCATCTGTTTCATCAGCTCCTCTATACTCAGTTCTGTGTTGTCCACAAAATCTGTTTTGTCATTGACCTGCAAGAAGACAGGACAAGGAACAAAATTATAATACTAAGTACAATATGCATACAAATGCACGTACATGTGTGCGTGTATGCCTGTGCGTACGTCTGTGCTTATGTGTGTCTATACATTGTTATTCTAATATCAAATCAGTATTGCTAAAGGGAGCAGAAACATGGAGAACAACTAAAACAATGACTATTAAACTACAAACATTCATTAACTGGTGCCTGCACAGCGGCAAGTAAACCAGATGATAGAATCACCAATGTAGAGCTTTGGGAGAGAACTAAAGTTCCAGTAGACCAAGAGGAGAAAAAAACAACAAAACTGGTGCTAGACAGGGCACACTTTGAGAAAACATGAGAACAATGTAATTATAATGTCTTGCACTGGAACCCCCAGGGACACAGCACAGAAATAAAGGCAGACCAAACAACTCACAGAGAAGGGAGCTAAAAGGTAAAGTTAAAATGATGGGGAAGACATGGGGTGAGCTGCATGCAATAGCAGAGGATAGAACAACTTGGCATAGGTTGGTTGAGGGCCTATGCTCCATTGGGAGTTTGAAGACAAAAGAGGAATAGTAAATAAAGGACTGCACCTTCTGATGACATCATTGCAACTCTAGCATTGTCAAAGTTGTGTCCCAAATAAAAATACGTTACACAACATAAAAGTTGATTCCTGTTTCTTTTATGGATAACTAAATAGAACATTCATTTTTAACATGTATGAGGAAAGTTTCATCTACAGAAATTATTCCTCCCCCTCCCCCCCCCCCACCTGAATTTAGAGGTTAAAAAGTGCCACATGAAATTCTATGGCAGGCAATCAAAAAAGCACTTTATCATAACATAGCAAAACAAATTCAATATATATGATATACTTATGTTCATATAAACATGTTCAAATGCGACAGCAATTCAAGTATTTCTTTTCATAACCTTGCTGATAACATTACTAATTTTAGTTTTATGATGCAAAATTTTTAAAGTGCCACAAAACACAATCAAGACAGCTTGACAACAACACTTCCACAAAACACTATGAGACAGCCTGACAACAACACTCTTTCACAAAACACTATCGAGACAGCCTGACAACAACACTCTTCCACAAAACACTATGAGACAGCCTGACAACAACACTCTTTCACAAAACACTATCGAGACAACCTGACAACAACTCCTCCACAAAACACTATAGAGACAACCTGACAACAACTCTTCCACAAAACACTATCGAGACAACCTGACAACAACACACTTCCACAAAACACTATCGAGACAGCCTGACAACACTCTTCCACAAAACACTATGAGACAACCTGACAACAACTCTTCCACACAACACTATGAGACAGCCTGACAACAACACTCTTCCACAAAACACTATGAGACAGCCTGACAACAACACTCTTCCACAAAACACTATGAGACAGCCTGACAACAACACTCTTCCACACAACACTATGAGACAACCTGACAACAACACTCTTCCACAAAACACTATGAGACAACCTGACAACAACTCTTCCACAAAACACTATGAGACAGCCTGACAACAACACTCTTTCACAAAACACTATGAGACAGCCTGACAACAACACTCTTCCATAAAACACTATTGAGACAGCCTGACAACACTCTTCCACAAAACACTATGAGACAGCCTGACAACAACACTCTTCCACAAAACACTATCGAGACAGCCTGACAACAACACTCTTTCACAAAACACTATCGAGACAGAGTGACAACAACACTCTTCCACAAAACACTATCGAGACAACCTGACAACAACACTCTTCCACAAAACACTATCGAGACAACCTGACAACAACTCTTCCACAAAACACTATCGAGACAACCTGACAACAACACTCTTCCACAAAACACTATGAGACAGCCTGACAACAACACTCTTTCACAAAACACTATCGAGACAGCCTGACAACAACACTCTTCCACAAAACACTATCGAGACAGAGTGACAACAACACTCTTCCACAAAACACTATCGAGACAACCTGACAACAACTCTTCCACAAAACACTATCGAGACAACCTGACAACAACTCTTCCACAAAACACTATCGAGACAACCTGACAACAACACTCTTCCACAAAACACTATCGAGACAGCCTGACAACACTCTTCCACAAAACACTATGAGACAACCTGACAACAACTCTTCCACACAACACTATGAGACAGCCTGACAACAACACTCTTCCACAAAACACTATGAGACAGCCTGACAACAGCACTCTTCCATAAAACACTATGAGACAACCTGACAACAACTCTTCCACAAAACACTTTTGAGACAACTTGACAACAGCACTGTTCCACAAAATACTATCGAGACAGTCTGACAATAAGAATTTTTCCATAAATGTGTGACAGGCCTGCTGTAGCTGACAATTACCTGTGCCACAGGTTTGGTGTAGCTGACAATTCACAGACTACTGCAACAATTACCTGTGCCACAGGTTTGGTGTAGCTAACAGTTCACAGACTAATGCAACAATTACCTGTGCCACAGGTTTGGTGTAGCTAACAGTTCACAGACTACTGCAACAATTACCTGTGCCACAGGTTTGGTGTAGCTAACAGTTCACAGACTACTGCAATAATTACCTGTGCCACAGGTTTGGTGTAGGCAACAGTCACACCCTCTGTCAGAACTGGTCTCTCACCCTCTGCAGCTCTGGACTCTTCCTCTGTGGTCTCTGATACAATTTCTATACCTACAAAGAGAAACACAGCGAAGATGACTTTCAGGCAGCAGTTCCACAAGAGATGGTTTAGGCAGGCAGTTCCCACTCAGCTAAGACTTGCGAAGCAGATCACTCTTATTTTTAAAGGTCCGCCAGTTACACTCAAGAACTTATCCTTTATAATTACTGGAATCACAACAACACACACACACAAAAGGAGTGCATGCTAAAGTTCAGGACTGTTTTTGCGTAATCATCATTCCACAGACCATGAAAAAAAAAAGGGTGGTGGGTGGTAGTGTGATGGGGGTCGTGAACATCACCAAATAAGAAAGACTTTTAGCCAAATCTGCAAGCACTGAGATGCTTCTATCATACTGTCCTCACAAGGACATGATTACCTGGTGTCCCAGATAAATGCTATTGGTGATATACCTTCATGTAACTGTGTGAGACCACCCAGGCTCATTGACGTGTGTCTGCCTCTGACATTTCTACAACTGATATATCAACAAATGATGTTTCGGCAACTGATGTTTCAACAACTGTTTCTACAACTCATGTTTCTACAACTCATGTTTCCAGCTGTCACAATGTTCCCCACATGTCTCTTCTTATTTCAAAACATATATGAATACTGTATGGGTGTAGGAGAAAGTAAGGGAGAGAAAGATTATAGATAAATACAAACATACCAATAACTTAAAGTTAACTTGTATAAATTGTATAAATGTATTGAGGTAACACTAGAAGAAGTTAACTTGTATAAATGTATTGAGATAACACTAGAAGAAGTTAACTTGTATAAATGTATTGAGGTAACACTGGAAGAAGTTAACTTGTATAAATGTATTGAGATAACACTAGAAGAAGTTAACTTGTATAAATGTATTGAGGTAACACTGGAAGAAGTTAACTTGTATAAATGTATTGAGGTAACACTAGAAGAAGTTAACTTGTATAAATGTATTCAGGTAACACTGGAAGAAGTTAACTTGTATAAATGTATTCAGGTAACACTGGAAGAAGTTAACTTGTATAAATGTATTGAGGTAACAATAGAGGAAGTTAACTTGTATAAATGTATTGAGGTAACACTGGAAGAAGTTAACTTGTATAAATGTATTGAGGTAACACTGGAAGAAGTTAACTTGTATAAATGTATTGAGGTAACACTAGAGGAAGTTAACTTGTATAAATGTATTGAGGTAACACTAGAAGACGTTAACTTGTATAAATGTATTGAGGTAACACTGGAAGAAGTTAACTTGTATAAATGTATTGAGGTAACACTGGAAGAAGTTAACTTGTATAAATATATTGAGGTAACACTAGAAGAAGTTAACTTGTAAATGTATTGAGGTAACACTAGAAGAAGTTAACTTGTAAATGTATTGAGGTAACACTAGAAGAAGTTAACTTGTATAAATGTATTGAGGTAACACTGGAAGAAGTTAACTTGTATAAATGTATTGAGGTAACACTAGAAGAAGTTAACTTGTATAAATGTATTGAGGTAACACTAGAAGAAGTTAACTTGTAAATGTATTGAGGTAACACTAGAAGAAGTTAACTTGTAAATGTATTGAGGTAACACTAGAAGAAGTTAACTTGTATAAATGTATTGAGGTAACACTGGAAGAAGTTAACTTGTATAAATGTATTGAGGTAACACTAGAAGAAGTTAACTTGTAAATGTATTGAGGTAACACTAGAAGAAGTTAACTTGTAAATGTATTGAGGTAACACTAGAAGAAGTTAACTTGTATAAATGTATTGAGGTAACACTGGAAGAAGTTAACTTGTATAAATGTATTGAGGTAACACTAGAAGATGTTAACTTGTATAAATGTATTCAGGTAACACTGGAAGAAGTTAACTTGTATAAATGTATTGAGGTAACACTGGAAGAAGTTAACTTGTATAAATGTATTGAGGTAGCACTAGAAGAAGTTAACTTGTAAATGTATTGAGGTAACACTAGAAGAAGTTAACTTGTATAAATGTATTGAGGTAACACTGGAAGAAGTTAACTTGTATAAATGTATTGAGGTAACACTAGAAGAAGTTAACTTGTATAAATGTATTGAGGTAACACTGGAAGAAGTTAACTTGTATAAATGTATTGAGGTAACACTAGAAGAAGTTAACTTGTATAAATGTATTGAGGTAACACTGGAAGAAGTTAACTTGTAAATGTATTCAAGTAACACTAGAAGAAGTTAACTTGTATAAATGTATTGAGGTAACACTAGAAGAAGTTAACTTGTAAATGTATTCAAGTAACACTAGAAGAAGTTAACTTGTGTAAATGTATTGAGGTAACACTGGATGAAGTTAACTTCTATAAATGTATTGAGGTAACACTGGAAGAAGTTAACTTGTATAAATGTATTGAGGTAACACTAGAAGAAGTTAACTTGTAAATGTATTGAGGTAACACTAGAAGAAGTTAACTTGTAAATGTATTGAGGTAACACTGGAAGAAGTTAACTTGTATAAATGTATTGAGGTAACACTAGAAGCAGAGGACAAGATGAAGACACGTCTAATAATGCACCCTGATATTCTACAAATGGTTATGTTATCCAACATTCAGGATGACTTACTCCACTCATTCTCATCATGAACAACTGCCTCTTCCACTTGTGGAGCACAGACCTCATCCTTGGGTTTTGCAGCCTCCCGTTCCTGAAACCAGATTAATTATTTAACTTGACTGAAAAATCTCGGGAAACAAACTACAAACAATCAGTAACTGGTGCCTGCACTGAATAGAAGATATTATATAGTGTGAGAGCTTTACTAAGTAGAGAACTAAAACAGACTTGAGTGACTCAAAATATGAGAAAAAGATTTTAAAATGGGGAAGACATGGAGGCAGCTAAGGTAAATGACACACAAATACTGTGATCCTGTTACAACCATATGACAGTGGCTGTGGTGACAACCCAAGGTGACTATATCCAGGACAATGTTATGTTCGACAACCATATGACAGTGGCTGTGGTGACAACCCAAGGTGACTATATCCAGGACAATGTTATGTTCGACAACCATATGACAGTGGCTGTGGTGACAACCCAAGGTGACTATATCCGGGACAATGTTATGTTCGACAACCATATGACAGTGGCTGTGGTGACAACCCAAGGTGACTATATCCAGGACAATGTTATGTTCGACAACCATATGACAGTGGCTGTGGTGACAACCCAAGGTGACTATATCCGGGACAATGTTATGTTCGACAACCATATGACAGTGGCTGTGGTGACAACCAAAGGTGACTATATCCAGGACAATGTTATGTTCGACAACCATATGACAGTGGCTGTGGTGACAACCCAAGGTGACTATATCCGGGACAATGTTATGTCCGACAAGAAGCCACAAAGATCAGAGCAGTAAGTCCCACTAATACTGCAATGTTGAACTGGCCAGAAGGCCCGGCATTCCAGAACAAATTGTCTCAGCAAACAGGAGACAGGCAGACATTACTCAGAGCCTCAAGCCTAGAGCAGGTGTCCAAAGGACAAGACAGACATCAATATCCGAAAGCCCAACACAAGTAGGAAATGCCCAAACATAGGGTCAGATACCTGGCATGCCCATATCTACAAGAGAGAGACAATACTTGTATAAATGTATACAAAGAGAACTTAGCCTATAAAGAAGCCCACAGAAGATATGATGCACCCAGGAGCGACACCTTGCTGAACAAGTCAAGACTTCAAGATCAGACAGACCAGATGAAGAATGATAACCAGAATCTCCTACAGAAAAAAGCAGCTGCGGACTTACAGCACAGGCAAACAGGAAGGGAGATGGAGGAGCTCAGAGATATGCTAAAAACTACATTAGAAGCCTAAAGACAGATAGCGACAGAGGCAACATCAATGGAAGAGTTCTAGGCAGAGATGCAAACAACAAAGCCAAAATCAAGATAGGGCGACAGAGACAGAGCAACGGTTCCCAAGAAAACTATGAAAGAACTGGTGAAATGATGAAGAAAGACCCTGGATAAGTGAAATGAAGAACGGCGTCGACTGGTGGCCTACAGGTTCTACAAAGAAGCATTAATCCAACAAAGGATAAAAAATCCATCAGTACAAAGGAAGTCTTACTAAGCCAGCAATAGGATGGCGGTATGGAATATCTCAGATGGAGATATCGATAAAGACAGCATATAGAGAACAGTACGAATTCCAGAGCAAGATCAAGACATTGGTTGTGTAGATATTTACCTATTTGTCTTTTAACTGCCGACACCAGCGGTTGTGCAGACATTTATCTCTTTATCTTTTAACTGCTGACACCAGCGGTTGTGCAGACATTTATCTATTTGTCTTTTAACTGCCGACACCAGCGGTTGTGCAGACATTTATCTATTTGTCTTTTAACTACTGACACCAGCGGTTGTGCAGACATTTATCTCTTTATCTTTTAACTGCTGACACCAGCGGTTGTGCAGACATTTATCTCTTTATCTTTTAACTGCCGACACCAGCGGTTGTGCAGACATTTACCTATTTGTCTTTTAACTGCTGACACCAGCGGTTGTGCAGACATTTATCTATTTGTCTTTTAACTGCCGACACCAGCGGTTGTGCAGACATTTATCTATTTGTCTTTTAACTACTGACACCAGCGGTTGTGCAGACATTTATCTCTTTATCTTTTAACTGCCGACACCAGCGGTTGTGCAGACATTTATCTATTTGTCTTTTAACTGCTGACACCAGCGGTTGTGCAGACATTTATCTCTTTATCTTTTAACTGCCGACACCAGCGGTTGTGCAGACATTTATCTATTTGTCTTTTAACTGCTGACACCAGCGGTTGTGCAGACATTTATCTCTTTATCTTTTAACTGCCGACACCAGCGGTTGTGCAGACATTTATCTCTTTATCTTTTAACTGCCGACACCAGCGGTTGTGCAGACATTTATCTATTTGTCTTTTAACTGCTGACACCAGCGGTTGTGCAGACATTTATCTCTTTGTCTTTCTGGAATTAATCCCATTTAATATTCATCAATATCCCCAGGCATTTGTTTTCTAAAATTTATTAAACTGTAATTCCATATCTTTAGTGGTTCTACAACTTTCATTGGCATTTGTTGTTATAGATTTGACTAACTTGCCCAACTCACTGAGTTCTTTGTGGGGTGGGGGGGTTGTTAAGTAATGGACTCCCCGACCCGTGTTGTGTTGAGTCAAGAATTGACATCACAGTACAATGGGCATCCTCATAAGCACTCCGGCCCTATCCTCAGCAACCAGCGCAGAGTTCCAATACTAATGGTGCTGGTCGTAGTCTGGTCTTATGCCTTTTTGCCTTTCCTCTTGTCACATCCAGGTGCATCATTCTCTCCAGCACATAATACTGTCCAACAGTTCTCATACAGACTTTCTCCCATGCCATGATGGAACACTGTTCAGCAGTTATCATAAGACATTCTCCCATGCCATGATGAAACACTGTTCAGCAACTTCTCTCCTTCAATGACCACCAGTAGCATGACGATGGAGGTGATGGTGGTGGCACATGCTTTCATGTGGCTGGGATCACAGAACTATTCCCGCGTGTGTGTGCTGAGTGACTCTTTGAGCATGGTCCGGCGGGTTGAGGCAGGCTGGTTATGCAGACAGTGGCTTGAGTCATTGCAAAATTCTCTTGTGTGTGCAGTTACTTTCATATTCGTCCCAGGGCATGCAGGCATTGTTGGTAATGAGAGAGCTGATAGACTGGCAGATACTGCATTAATTGAAGATGGCCGGCCCATGGATCACGCAGACATTGTCCTTGCCCTTAGAGAGATAGGACGTTCTGAGGATTTTGGAAGCAACGTGTACACATCACTTCTAAGAATACGCGACTTGGGAGTAAAGATCGGCACAGCCAATCATGAGAAGCACACTGGACACACATGAAGTCTTGTTAACCAACATAGGACTGGTAATATTAACCGCACGATGCTGATGAATATATTGAGAGGGGAATCTGAGCGCCTATGAATGTGTCCAGAGTGTTGTGAAGATAATCTAACTCATAACTTCTCTCCTGGTCTCCCTTTCCCTCCCCTGTCTCAATGAACACCAGCTTTCCCTTTTCATGATTTACAGATACACAGCAGTATGCAAATAAAAACATGCAAAGACATTCAGATATGAACAAATAATTGTTTTACAGCGACTTCATGAAACAAACTAGTCAGCTAATGCTCTACGGCAGTCTAAGACACTACCTGAAAAAGCCTCTGCTGCTTCAGGCAGAACGTATCATCACAATTTGGATTGGGTCTCAGTCTCATGGTAGGGAAGAAATCCTGAAGTGCATTGTAGCCTAAGTAATAGGATACCTGGCCGAACCCGAGCAAGAACCTAGCGAGACACATTAGTGAAGCACATGTTAATTAAGAGAATTACAAGGCACTGCTTCCTCACTCAGCGTCCTTACAGTAAAGTCTACCAAATACAGAAAAATTATGTTATCACAATCGACATCACTGCACACTGGGCATTTCCATGCATGCTCAGTCGAAGGCGGCATAGACACGCTTTACCATGCTTTAATCCCAGCTCAAGCAATGGTGTTGTGTCAGAGATTCGTCATTATCCCCTATGGATGATCATATCTGCTCTGTCCATGCTTCACCATGCTTTAATCCCAGCTCAAGCAATGGTGTTGTGTCAGAGATTTGTCATTATCCCCTTTGGATGATCATATCTGCTCTGTCCATGCTTCACCATGCTTTAATCCCAGCTCAAGCAATGGTGTTGTGTCAGAGATTTGTCATTATCCCCTTTGGATGATCATATCTGCTCTGTCCATGCTTCACCATGCTTTAATCCCAGCTCAAGCAATGGTGTTAGTGTCAGAGATTCGTCATTATCCCCTATGGATGATCATATCTGCTCTGTCCATGCTTTAATCCCAGCTCAAGCAATGGTGTTAGTGTCAGAGATTCGTCATTATCCCCTATGGATGATCATATCTGCTCTGTCCATGCTTCTTCCTGCATGCATTAGTGTACTGTTTGCCAGTTGCTCTAACTTGCTCATTACGTTTGCATGACAAGGTGTGTAGATCCAGGTGAGGGTGGTTAAGTGCGATTTTCAAATGCTTTCTATATTTAGCTTATTCATTTCAGGCTGTGATTTTCTGAAACATCTTCAAGGAGTCTGATACAATACCATATATGTGGTTGCTTGTTCTGCTGCTCATGCTAGTGCGCTGGAAGCAGTGGTTATCTCCATGGTAGATTAGGAGAATTACTAGGCACTGCTTCCTCAGATTTACTGCACAGCCTATCAGATTTCTACAAGTATTTCTGTGAGATTTGTGAGACAATCCATCTACTTCTATCAATATTTCTGTCAAACTGACAGCACATCCCATCAAATGTTCATAAGTTTTCTGTCAAAATTTAAATCTTTCAGTACCAGACAACTTAAAACCCATTTATTTGTGCTGCCAAAGATAACACAATGTTCCTGCAGTCTTCTATCACAGAGATGGTTGATATATTTAACCTCTCTGTATCTGAGTTATTAGTTAAGCTATACCTGTCTCACAGTGTCTTTGCTCATCTAGAGAAGAAATTAGGAAAGCTATCAATCTTCTGATGGAAGGAAAGGTTGCAGGTCCACATAGTATCCCAGCACAATGCCAATATAAACACATCAACGGAATTGCTACACAGATTATTTAGTAAAGTATATGAGATCAGTTTGAGGTTTGAACAACGGATCAACATCATGGCACACGGGTAGTGGCACACAGGTAGTAACCCATAAGTGCTCCGTTCTACTTCTAACTCAAGTCTAGAGTCCGAAGTAGCTCAGTGCAGTGCACAGGCTCTGTAGCACCAGCGAGGATCCTGAAATATTTTGGGTAGATTTTTAACCTCATATTTTGCCCGGGTAGCACCATTAGGCTACTTTTTTCCAATCTAGCTACACAGAGAACCAGGGGAACTTCTAGTACTCAAGGTAGATACCATGCCTCGAGACTGTGCAGCCTCCTGTCTGTGAGACCAAAGAAATATCAACAGACTAGACAGAAGGATATCTTGTGAAACTGCTCAAAAATAGGTGATCCGTATGAGTGTGAAAACTATAGAGGAATTATGATACTGTCAGTTCCTGGAAAAATATAAAGTAGGATTATTTGGAAAAACTAAAAGATGTTATTCATAAAAAGCTAAGAGATGAACAGGCAGGTTTTTGGCCAAACAGATGCTGTACTGACCAGACAGCCCCATTATGCATAATAACAGAGCAAGCATTGAACTGAACTCACTACTTTACATTAGATTCATAGATCATGAAAAAGCTTACAACAGCATTGATAGGGAATCTCTCTGGAAACTGATAGGGAATCTATCTGAAAACTGATAGGGAATCTCTCTGGAAACTGATGGGGCACTTTGGCATCCCAAAGAAACTGCGCCATCTGTGATGTTTCTCTTTTCAGTCTGTGACCCTTAACTCTGTCTATGGCTTTATGAAGGAGGTGTTTCTTATCTGCGGTTACTCTGAGATATGACTCTGCTTGTAGCACTTTGAGCCTATCTGGTAACAGCAGACAGTGCAAGTATATCACGCAAACATACTACCAAGGAGTCTCTTGTATATCCCAGAATTACCATTGGCTTCATTCAAGTTTCATCCACTGACACTTTGATATTGTAAGCATTTCAGGTCCATAATTTATCACCGACATGATCGAATGCTGGAACATTGTGAACAACATTCTTTGTTCCATGTCCATTGCTGCTATAATCTTGAGAGCATTGTCTTTATTATTTATTTTTTTTTTTTATTTTACAGCAACTGCCTAAACATAATTCCCAAAGGTCAGGCTAAAGTGATACCCAGGTACCTCAGTCCGCTTTCTCTTTTGATTTTTCTATCACTAATTGTGAGACCTGAAACATCAGCTCTCACAATTTTACTGTCTAAAGAGTACCAAAAAACAGGCATCCCCTCTTGGCCAAAGAAAGCCCCTTTCTCTGCACACTCGTCAGTCACCCTCTCCACAGCTGCTCGTAGTTTGTGTGCTGTCTGTTGCCTGTCGCTCCCCTGCCTATATGTAAGAACATCCTCTGCAAATGTCAATATTCTTCCCGTTGTTCGTGTGCTGTCTGTTGCCTGTATTTCCCCTGCCTATATGTAAGAACATCCTCTGCAAATGTCAATATTCTTCCCGTTGTTCGTGTATTGTCTGTTGCCTGTCCCTCCACAGCTTACATGCAAGAACATCCTCGGCAAATGTTGATATTCTTCCAACGCGTGATACCTCAAATTCTGCAATCCTGCCTGCATACATGTTTGTTCGTTTCTATTAAAGAGTACTTGTGAAACTGCAGAACCCTAGGGAAATCCCGGGCCAATACTGCATGCTTCAAAACTCCAAGTACCCAGTCAGAGGGTGACTTACACTGGGGATTAGACACTGGGGATTAGACACTGGGGATTAGACACTGGGGATTAGAAGGCAGAAGATGAAGAACAAGATTTGAGCATTCCTGAACTGATTTCCAGCCCTTGGACTATAAATACTTACTTGAGCACATTCTGGACTAGGAAGCCAGCAACCACAGCCATAGTAGTGGGCAAACTGGCAGCACAGACTCCCTCCCTTTTCAGTGTCCTCTCATCTGTGTGGGTGGCCACAACCAGGGGAGGGGCACACTAAACCATCAATATCAAGATAGACAAATCTGATATAAGGAAAAGATGAACTCAAAGCAAGAACAATGTTTTTTAAATGATTCTCACTGACATTAAATCATTTTATGCAATTGTATCACTGTTCCTCTGTGTCACATGTTGATGAAAGTTTTTTTGACATTCATGACTGTAAGTAGTCATTTTCTCATTGCTGGTAAATTTTCTCATGAGATGAAAATGAGAACAACTGCTAAACATAATAATTTATATGCAACAACCCTGATGGATGGTATTGATTACTAATTATAATGTTTGCAGTAAGCAGATCGAATAAGTGATACTAACTCGAGATAAATGTGTAGTTAAGCTGAAGTATGCCAAACGAGGAAATGTGAAAATGTGACTGGTACTTCTGTGTGGAAGTAAGTAAATGTATGATCAAGCTGTCAACCTGTTTTCTGAGATAACCTCACAGCCCTCTTCACACTGGAATGACTGAACATAGTTTGCTGTGAGTTTTAGTGATTTTAGAAGATCTGAAGTACCAACTGCTGAAGGTGCTTTGATAACCCTGTGCAAGTAATGAATGTATTTTGTACTGCTCTGGAGTAGCTGTTACTTATATATATCAATCCTCTGGCTCCCTGACTGACAGGAACATTGTTGGAGCAAAAAACAGTAGTGATCAGCTGTTTAGTGTTCTGGACATTTGTTCATGTTCCAGCTTGCTGTGCTGAAGTATCTGTCAATGTGCCTGAGCAAACTACTGAAGTATCTGTCAATGTGCCTGAGCAAACCACTGAAGTATCTGTCAATGTGCCTGAGCAAACTACTGAAGTATCTGTCAATGTGCCTGAGCAAACCACTGAAGTATCTGTCAATGTGCCTGAGCAAACTACTGAAGTATCTGTCAATGTGCCTGAGCAAACTACTGAAGTATCTGTCAATGTGCCTGAGCAAACTACTGAAGTATCTGTCAATGTGCCTGAGCAAACTACTGAAGTATCTGTCAATGTGCCTGAGCAAACTACTGAAGTATCTGTCAATGTGCCTGAGCAGACTGCTGAAGTATCTGTCAATGTGCCTGAGCAAACTACTGATGTATCTGTCAATGTGCCTGAGCAGACTGCTGAAGTATCTGTCAATGTGCCTGAGCAGACTACTGATGTATCTGTCAATGTGCCTGAGCAAACTACTGAATAACATTTACATAGAATGTTATGTCAATGTTACATTTCTGTTAGGCAGAAACAACATTTACATAGAATGTTATGTCAATGTTACATTTCTGTTAGGCAGAAACAACATTTACATAGAATGTTATGTCAATGTTACATTTCTGTTAGGCAGAAACAACATTTACACAGAATGTTATGTCAATGTTACATTTCTGTTACGCAGAAACAACATTTACACAGAATGTTATGTCAATGTTACATTTCTGTTAGGCAGAAACAACATTTACACAGAATGTTATGTCAATGTTACATTTCTGTTAGGTAGAAACAACATTTACATAGAATGTTATGGCAATGTTACATTTCTGTTAGGTTGAAACAACACTTACATAGAATGTCATGGCAATGTTACGTTTCTGTTAGGTAGAAACAAAATCTACACAGAACGTTATGGAAATGTTATGTTTCTGTTAGGCATAAACAACATTTACACAAAATGTTATGTCAATATTACGTTTCTGTTAGGCAGAAACAACATTTACATAGAATGTTATGGAAATGTTACATTTCTGTTAGGCAGAAACAAAATTTACATATATGTTATGGCAATGTTATGTTTCTGTTAGGCCTAAACAACATCTACACAAAATGAGTTATGTGGTCAACATCATAATGACTGCCTTAATTCTGAGGTCATTTTTCTGGTAAAGTTTAAGTTGCTATGATGTGGAAGCACTAGTCATGCAACAGATGATGATTTATGTACAAAAGACTGGTCTCCCTTACCCAAATGTCTTATTCCCTGCAGGTGCCTCACAGATCAGTCAATGAGTCCTCACATGTCAAGTAGACAGGCAGTCACTGCAGTCAATGAGTCCTCACATGTCAAGTAGACAGGCAGTCACTGCAGTCAATGAGTCCTCACATGTCAAGTACTCAGGCAGTCACTGTAGTCAATGAGTCCTCACATGTCAAGTACACAGGCAGTCAATGAGTCCTCACATGTCAAGTGCACAGGCAGTCACTGTAGTCAATGAGTCCTCACATGTCAAGTACACAGGCAGTCAATGAGTCCTCACATGTCAAGTACACAGGCAGTCACTGTAGTCAATGAGTCCTCACATGTCAAGTACACAGGCAGTCAATGAGTCCTCACATGTCAAGTACACAGGCAGTCAATGAGTCCTCACATGTCAAGTACACAGGCAGTCAATGAGTCCTCACATGTCAAGTACACAGGCAGTCAATGAGTCCTCACATGTCAAGTACACAGGCAGTCAATGAGTTCTCACATGTCAAGTACACAGGCAGTCACTGTAGTCAATGAGTCCTCACATGTCAAGTACACAGGCAACAACTGCAGCAGGCAAGTTTTTATTTTACCCAGACAAATTTAAAGCATTAACTAACTCGGATGCTTCAATATGTGAAATGATGTATCAGGAAAGACTTTAAAATGCTGGCATAAATATTCTGTCATTTTGAGTAATCTTTTAATCTTGCAGTCATGTAAACATCTGTATCGCACATGTGACCCACATGAGACTGTCAGTGTACCTAAACTCAATGGGAAGACAAGAGATTGTACTGGAGAACAATCAGTGTACTCACAGCAAAGCATGAGGTATCTCCAGGAATGATGAACTGGATGTGGCCTGACACAGCATTCTCACTAACACCCGACTCAAACCAAGCTTGGCCCAGCTCGTTACACGCCTGAAGAAACAGGGATACAAGAGGTATGATCAAAGTGCCAGGTAATCATTCAATATGTATGGCAGATAAACAAGCCAAACAATTTCTTGAGGCCTTGGAGATACGTTTTTACAGAACAATCCTTGGAATTCCTCGGACAGCAGCCAAAAAGAGAAACCCAGATGTTTTGAATGAGGCCAGTGCTCAAAGACAAGTCATTGCAAACATCAGAGAAAAACAGTCATCATTTTTTGCTCATGTTATGAGAATTTAAAAAAAAAAAGCTGGAACACAATGTGACCACTAGAAATATCTGTGGAAAGCGAAGCAGAGGCAGACAATGTGAGAAGATCCTTGACAGCCTTTTGTCATGCCATGGAAGTGTGTCAATACATGAGCTGATACCCCAAGCTGTAGATCACTGACAGTGGAGAGGCATGATTGTCCTGACCAGTCAGCAAAGCACTTGATGATAATCTTCTTCTTCTTCTTCGCGTCCACCGGCGGAAAGTTCTTGTTGTTCGTCACTTCTGGACTGCAGTCCTGTCCAGAACCTAAGTGTTGCGTGTGCATCCGTCTGACAGATATGTATGCAGACTGTTGGTTCCTTGCCTCTCAGGCAGATGCACTCCGATTTTGAAGGAAGCTCCCAATTAGTCTCACTCTTACGACATGCTTTTGGGTAGGCAGTGGGTCTATTCTTGTTTTTCCCATAGTAGGGCCCCGGAACCCACACGGGGGACTTGATGATAATGATATGACATGAGTTCAAACTGACATCACAGCACTGAGAACATTCCCATAAGTGCCGGGTCCTCATCTTCAGCAGCCAATGCAGAGTTCCGGCTCCCATGGTACCAACAGCAATAGGACTGTACATGGGGGATGCCTTTTCCTTGTGTTAAGTGTCTGCCAGATTCCCTAGTCACTCCCTGCTGCACTGTTCTCTTCAGACTGTGATCATCTGTTTGTTCCTCTGCACTGTTCTCTTCAGACTGTGATGATCTGTTTGTTCCTCTGCACTGTTCTCTTCAGACTGTGATGATCTGTTTGTTCCTCTGCACTGTTCTCTTCAGACTGTGATGATCTGTTTGTTCCTTTACACTATTCTCTTCAGACTGTGATCATCTGTTTTTTTCTCTACACTTTTCTCTTCAGACTGTGATCATCTGTTTGTTCCTCTGCACTGTTCTCTTCAGACTGTGATGATCTGTTTGTTCCTCTGCACTGTTCTCTTCAGACTGTGATGATCTGTTTGTTCCTCTGCACTGTTCTCTTCAGACTGTGATGATCTGTTTGTTCCTCTGCACTATTCTCTTCAGACTGTGATCATCTGTTTGTTCCTCTGCACTATTCTCTTCAGTCTGTGATCATCTGTTTGTTCCTCTACACTGTTCTCTTCAGACTGTGATCATCTGTTTGTTCCTCTGCACTGTTCTCTTGCTCCCACAGGGCCTTGATAACTTCTAGCTTGTCATGCATGTATACAGAAAATGTGTATCTATGTGTGTGTGTGTGTGTGTGTGTGTGTGTGTGTGCACACGCATGTGTGTGTGTGTGTGTGTGTGTGTGTGTGTGTGTGTGTGTGTGTGTGTGTGTGTCTGTGTGTCTGTGTGTCTGTGTGTGTGCACGCGCATGTGTGTGTGCTCTCCCTCCCCCACATAGATGCACACATACTTTCATAGACAGAACTTTCTGGTTATAGACAGGGCAGACAAGAAATAGTTGACAATGATCAGCACAAAAGACAAACACTTGCTGAACATGGCCGTCCATCTTACAGTGTTGATGGTCATCCGGGCCTCAAAGTTGTCCACACAGCTGAGAACCAGGTCCACTGGGGTGTCTTTGACTTTTCCACCAAATCTGAATGTGTCATAAGTAAAGTAATAAAATATAGCATCCGATTTACAAATATGGTAAGTAACATGACAAAATATAGCGTACATCCACAAATGTAAGTGATTGTAAAAGTCAGGTGGTGAATTATGGCATCCTTCCTACAAATGTAAAAAGTAAGGATTATTACACGAAGACTGGCTGAGTGTAGGTGAGAGAAGATGAAGGGAGAGAATGAGAGACAAGACAGAGAGTATCTGCAAGCCAGCCTGGCTGGGACAGCAAGTACCAGGTTGTTCTATCAGCAAGTATCAGTTTGTTCTATAAGCAAGTATAAGTTTATTTTACAATTCATGACTTCATAAATCAACAAACCAGATTGGCAGTAGCCAGAAAGCTTTCCTGCTGGCCCTGTGGTCATAGATTTCAATCCTGTCAGTGCAGAATAGGTTGAACTGACATGGGATCCTGTATTGACCCAGCCTAAAATGGCTTACAGGAAATGTTCTGTGAAATATCTGACATAGTACTGAGCATTCACCCATCGCATGCAATTTTTTTTTTAATAGGTCTGGCGTGGGGGAGGGAGGGGGGGGGGGGGTCCTAGCACCACAGAATTAACTTCCATGACTAGAAAAAATTAGAATAAAAAATCGTTACCGTATTCTATCCAAAAAATGTTGGAAGTTGTCTACTGTTGTGATGTTGTAGTTGTACACCTCAAATTCAACATCTGGGTTGATCTCTCTATTAAAGAAAAATATTTGTCTTAACATTGAACACTGCATTCATATCCAATGTTAACATCTATATCCATCACTTCTCTAGTGCATGCCTGGTGGCAATGGTGATGTCTGTTCTGTCAGAGACAGAAGTTCTTCAATGCCATGATGTCAAACTGTCTACATTCCCCCTGTGTGGGTTTCAGGGTCCCATTGTGGGGTTTGTGGGTGGGGGAATGAGACCCACTGCCTCCCTAACAAGTATGTTGTTAGAGTCGACTAATTAGATTAGAGGTTTCCTTTGAAGTTGAAGTGTGTCTCCCTAAAAGGCGAGGAATCAGCAGTCTGCATACTAATAAGCCAGATCTTTCAAATGGATCTGCATGCAAAACTTAAATTCTTAAACAAGATTGAAGTCCAGAAGTGAACAAACAACTAACACTTTCCGTCAGAGTTTACAGATGACCATTGCAAAGAAAAAGAAGAAGCCGTCTATATAATCTTTCTTGGTCTCCTTCAGCCACTCTTCCCCTCTAATCTTACTTGGTCTCCTTCAGCCACTCTTCCCCTCTGATCTTACTTGGTCTCCTTCAGCCACTCTTCCCCTCTTCTTTCTTGGTCTTCTTCAGCCACTCTTCCCCTCTAATCTTTCTTGGTCTTCTTCAGCCACTCTTCCCCTCTAATCTTTCTTGGTCTTCTTCAGCCACTCTTCCCCTCTAATCTTTCTTGGTCTCCTTCAGCCACTCTTCCCCTCTAATCTTACTTGGTCTCCTTCAGCCACTCTTCCCCTCTAATCTTACTTGGTCTCCTTCAGCCACTCTTCCCCTCTAATCTTTCTTGGCCTTCTTCAGCCACTCTTCCCCTCTAATCTTAGTTGGTCTCCTTCAGCCACTCTTCCCCTCTAATCTTTCTTGGTCTCCTTCAGCCACTCTTCCCCTCTAATCTTAGTTGGTCTCCTTCAGCCACTCTTCGCCTCTAATCTTTCTTGGTCTTCTTCAGCCACTCTTCCCCTCTAATCTTTCTTGGTCTCCTTCAGCCACTCTTCCCCTATAATTTTACTTGGTCTCGTTCAGCCACTCTTCCCCTCTAATCTTTCTTGGTCTTCTTTAGCCACTCTTCCCCTCCAATCTTTCTTGGTCTCCTTCAGCCACTCTTCCCCTCTAATCTTTCTTGGTCTTCTTCAGCCACTCTTCCCCTCTAATCTTTCTTGGTCTCCTTCAGCCCCTCTTCCCCTCTAATCTTACATGGTCACCTTCAGCCCCTCTTCCCCTCTAATCTTACTTGGTCTCCTTCAGCCTCTCTTCCCCTTTAATCTTACTTGGTCTCCTTCAGCCTCTCTTCCCCTCTAATCTTACTTGGTCTCCTTCAGCCTCTCTTCCCCTCTAATCTTACTACTCATGTGAGGTACTCAAGTCTTCCCATTATCATGAGATGGATGTCTCCTTCTGATGCGGGCAGCTACAATTCTCTTCGGGAGTTAATTTACTCACAGACATTTTCATTATGTATGTTTAAGACAAGGAATAAACTTAAAAACTCAGTCATTACTGGTGAGCTTGGTGGAAACAAGAGTAAGGAGAAGACAAAGTAATAAATACCTGCATGGCTTGATCAGATGGATTAGGGGCAAGAGCATAGACTTAATCAGCGATTGTGGTTATCATATTAGATGGCAAACCGTTACAGTCTGATTATCAGCAGGGCATATCATGCAGATGGTTATAATAGTTGAGAGTCAAGTAGGAAGAATTTTTAAAATATAAAAAGAAAACAGCCTTTGCAATCAGGATTGAAACTCACTTGAGGGTTCTCTCGGCAGCTTCCACTTTACTCAGGCCGGCCTGGTGTGGTTGGTAGAAGAGTCTATTCATGTTAGCCAGCTCCACCTTGTCGTAATCAAACAGTATCAACTGCAACACACACACCACACAAAGATAGTACATGTCAATGACAATCATATCAGCCAACATCCATCAACTGGAACACACACACACACACACACACACACACACACAGATAGTACATGTCAATGACAATCATATCAGCCAACATCCATCAACTGGAACACACACACACACACACACACACACAGATAGTACATGTCAATGACAACCATATCAGCCAACATCCATCAACTGGAACACACACACACACACACACATAGAAGTACATGTCCATGACAACCATATCAGCCAACATCCATCAACTGAGTACATCTGTATTTGTAATAATCTGGATATAAACTGTTACGGTTATTTTGAAACAAAAGTGTTGCCAGCTTGATTTGGACAGTGTTGTGTTTTGTCCAGCATCAGACCATAAATAGCAACTATCATCAAGACAAAACTGTGTCATCTATCATCAAGACAAAACAGTGTCAACTATCATCAAGACAAAACAGTGTCAACTATCATAACTGATATCTGGACACCAAATTAATAGCTGTTGGTGATTTTTTCTTTTGTTATTTTAGACTTGGAATTATTTGTGTGTTGTGTTTTTCCTAGGTTCCTGTTAACAGCACTTGGGATTTTCTTTCTGTCCTCTCCTTTTTTAATATCATTTTGTTATGTGTGTGTGTGGGGGGGGGGGGGGGATGAGGGTGACCATATACTCAAGAAGGGGGTGCCACCTTACAAAGATAGGAGTGACAAAACATAGAATGTAGAGAAATACCTGCAGTGATCAAACATATTAGAATGTAGAGAAATACCTGCAGTGATCAAACATAATAGAATGTAGAGAAATACCTGCAGTGAGCAAACATAATAGAATGTAGAGAAAACCCTGCAGTGAGCAAACTTATTAGAATGTAGAGAAATACCTGCAGTGATCAAACATAATAGAATGTAGAGAAATACCTGCAGTGAGCAAACATATTAGAATGTAGAGAAATACCTGCAGTGAGCAAACATATTAGAATGTAGAGAAATACCTGCAGTGAGCAAACATATTAGAATGTAGAGAAATACCTGCAGTCAGCAAACATATTAGAATGTAGAGAAATACCTGCAGTCAGCAAACATATTAGAATGTAGAGAAATACCTGCAGTCAGCAAACATATTAGAATGTAGAGAAATACCTGCAGTCAGCAAACATAATAGAATGTAGAGAAATACCTGCAGTGAGCAAACATAATAGAATGTAGATAAATACCTGCAGTGAGCAAACATATTAGAATGTAGAGAAATACCTGCAGTGAGCAAACATAATAGAATGTAGAGAAATACCTGCAGTGAGCAAACATATTAGAATGTAGAGAAATACCTGCAGTGAGCAAACATATTAGAATGTAGAGAAATACCTGCAGTGAGCAAACATATTAGAATGAAGAGAAATACCTGCAGTGAGCAAACATATTAGAATGTAGAGAAGTACCTGCAGTGAGCAAACATATTAGAATGTAGAGAAATACCTGCAGTGATCAAACATCTTAGAATGTAGAGAATTACCTGCAGTGAGCAAACATATTAGAATGTAGAGAAATACCTGCAGTGAGCAAACATCTTAGAATGTAGAGAAATACCTGCAGTCAGCAAACATATTAGAATGTAGAGAAATACCTGCAGTGAGCAAACATAATAGAATGTAGAGAAATACCTGCAGTGATCAAACATATTAGAATGTAGAGAAATACCTGCAGTGATCAAACATATTAGGATGTAGAGAAATACCTGCAGTGAGCAAACATATTAGAATGTAGAGAAATACCTGCAGTCAGCAAACATATTAGAATGTAGAGAAATACCTGCAGTCAGCAAACATAATAGAATGTAGAGAAATACCTGCAGTGAACAAACATAGTAGAATGTAGAGAAATACCTGCAGTGAGCAAACATATTAGAATGTAGAGAAATACCTGCAGTGAGCAAACATAATAGAATGTAGAGAAATACCTGCAGTGAGCAAACATATTAGAATGTAGAGAAATACCTGCAGTGAGCAAACATAATAGAATGTAGAGAAATACCTGCAGTGAGCAAACATATTAGAATGTAGAGAAATACCTGCAGTGAGCAAACATATTAGAATGTAGAGAAATACCTGCAGTGATCAAACATCTTAGAATGTAGAGAAATACCTGCAGTGAGCAAAAATATTAGAATGTAGAGAAATACCTGCAGTCAGCAAACATCTTAGAATGTAGAGAAATACCTGCAGTGAGCAAACATAATAGAATGTAGAGAAATACCTGCAGTCAGCAAACATATTAGAATGTAGAGAAATACCTGCAGTCAGCAAACATATAGAATGTAGAGAAATACCTGCAGTGAGCAAACATAATAGAATGTAGAGAAATACCTGCAGTGAGCAAACATAATAGAATGTAGAGAAATACCTGCAGTCAGCAAACATAATAGAATGTAGAGAAATACCTGCAGTGAGCAAACATATTAGAATGTAGAGAAATACCTGCAGTGAGCAAAAAACATTGAATGAATGATGCCAGTAAAACAAATATACCCAATAGCTATAACTGTATATCTGCACCACTGAATTTCGATTGTCTGTTTTGTTTTGTTTATTTATGCGTGTACATGTGCGTGTGTGCATGCATGTGTTGCTCTGTGTGTGTGTGGTATGTGTGGTGTGGTGTGTGTGTGTTAGTGTGTGCATGTGTGTGTGTTAGTGTGTGTGTGTGTGAGAGAGAGAGAGAGAGAGAAAGAGAGAGAGAGAGAGGGGGGGGGGGGGAGATAATTATCTGCAAGAATGTAAACTACAACTCTTTAAGCCTGATTCAATAACATTCTGTATCCATAAAAAATAGATTTGCATTTATTAGTGAAGTTGGTATGCTTTCCTCTTGACCTGACACCAAATCACACAGGAACTGTGTTGCTGAGTTCTCTAACTTCCTCTCCAAGCTTGAAAACCATTGAGTCAGGCAAGGCCAGCACTAGAATGTCAGACCTGTGGAGACCAGCTGCTGATTTAGCCTAGCTCATGCAGGTGTGTCACCATTCAGCCTAGGCTGGTCATGTTGCCTATACACCAGTGGTTCTCAACCTTTTGAAAGCCAGGACCCTATAATACAGTTCCTCATGTTGTGGTGACCCTATAATACAGTTCCTCATGTTGTGGTGACCCTATAATACAGTTCCTCATGTTGTGGTGACCCTATAATACAGTTCCTCATGTTGTGGTGACCCTATAATACAGTTCCTCATGTTGTGGTGACCCTATAATACAGTTCCTCATGTTGTGGTGACCCTATAATACAGTTCCTCATGTTGTGGTGACCCTATAATACAGTTCCTCATGTTGTGGTGACCCTATAATACAGTTCTTCATGTTGTGGTGACCCTATAATACAGTTCTTCATGTTGTGGTGACCCTATAATACAGTTCCTCATGTTGTGGTGACCCTATAATACAGTTCCTCATGTTGTGGTGACCCTATAATACAGTTCCTCATGTTGTGGTGACCCTATAATACAGTTCCTCATGTTGTGGTGACCCTATAATACAGTTCTTCATGTTGTGGTGACCCTATAATACAGTTCCTCATGTTGTGGTGACCCTATAATACAGTTCTTCATGTTGTGGTGACCCTATAATACAGTTCCTCATGTTGTGGTGACCCTATAATACAGTTCCTCATGTTGTGGTGACCCTATAATACAGTTCTTCATGTTGTGGTGACCCTATAATACAGTTCCTCATGTTGTGGTGACCCTATAATACAGTTCCTCATGTTGTGGTGACCCTATAATACAGTTCCTCATGTTGTGGTGACCCTATAATACAGTTCTTCATGTTGTGGTGACCCTATAATACAGTTCCTCATGTTGTGGTGACCCTATAATACAGTTCCTCATGTTGTGGTGACCCTATAATACAGTTCTTCATGTTGTGGTGACCCTATAATACAGTTCCTCATGTTGTGGTGACCCTATAATACAGTTCTTCATGTTGTGGTGACCCTATAATACAGTTCCTCATGTTGTGGTGACCCTATAATACAGTTCCTCATGTTGTGGTGACCCTATAATACAGTTCTTCATGTTGTGGTGACCCTATAATACAGTTCCTCATGTTGTGGTGACCCTATAATACAGTTCCTCATGTTGTGGTGACCCTATAATACAGTTCCTCATGTTGTGGTGACCCTATAATACAGTTCTTCATGTTGTGGTGACCCTATAATACAGTTCCTCATGTTGTGGTGACCCTATAATACAGTTCCTCATGTTGTGGTGACCCTATAATACAGTTCCTCATGTTGTGGTGACCCTATAATACAGTTCCTCATGTTGTGGTGACCCTATAATACAGTTCCTCATGTTGTGGTGACCCTATAATACAGTTCCTCATGTTGTGGTGACCCTATAATACAGTTCTTCATGTTGTGGTGACCCTATAATACAGTTCCTCATGTTGTGGTGACCCTATAATACAGTTCCTCATGTTGTGGTGACCCTATAATACAGTTCCTCATGTTGTGGTGACCCTATAATACAGTTCCTCATGTTGTGGCGACCCTTTAATACAGTTCCCTCGTGTTGTGGTGACCCTATAATACAGTTCCTCATGTTGTGGTGACCCTATAATACAGTTCTTCATGTTGTGGTGACCCTATAATACAGTTCTTCATGTTGTGGTGACCCTATAATACAGTTCCCTCATGTTGTGGTGACCCTATAATACAGTTCCCTCATGTTGTGGTGACCCTTCAATACAGTTCCTCATGTTGTGGTGACCCTATAATACAGTTCTTCATGTTGTGGTGACCCTATAATACAGTTCCCTCATGTTGTGGTGACCCTTCAATACAGTTCCTCATGTTGTGGTGACCCTATAATACAGTTCTTCATGTTGTGGTGACCCTATAATACAGTTCCCTCATGTTGTGGTGACCCTATAATACAGTTCCCTCATGTTGTGGTGACCCTTCAATACAGTTCCTCATGTTGTGGTGACCCCCAACCATACAATTATTTTTGCTGCTACTTTATAACTTCAGTAAATATGTGTTTTCCGATGGTCTTAGAGGCCCCCTGTGAAACGCTCGCTCGATCCATAGGTTGAGAACTGCTGCTATACAGGTTTTAGATGTGTCATCGTCAACAAACTCCAAACCCAGCATGCAATGATGATGAAAGACTGACTGATTTGAAGAAAGCATGTAAGTGAAGTTAATTTACTTGACTGTTAACTTAACAAATCAATGATTTTGTAAAAAAGCAGAGACTCACTTTACCAATGCCACATCGTGTCAACATCTCTGCCGTCACACTGCCCACTCCTCCCACCCCAACTACAGCAATGCTGAAGTCTCTGATTTTCTGGAGAAGACAGATGTTTTAAAATGTTCTTTACACACTCTGAGACAACAAATAAAGTGGCTGGGACATCTTGTCAGTGAAGTTCTGTCTGCTCAGTAATGTTCTTTAAACAATGAGACAATAAATAAAGTGGCTGGGACATCTTGTCAGTGAAGTTCTGTCTGCTCAATAATGTTCTTGAAACAAAGAGACAACAAATAAAGTGGCTGGGACATCTTGTCAGTGAAGCATTGCCTGCTCAATAATGTTCTTTAAACAATGAGACAACAAATAAAGTGGCTGGGACATCTTGTCAGTGAAGCTCTGCCTGCTCAATAATGTTCTATGAGACAACAAATAAAGTGGCTGTGACATCTTGTCAGTGAAGCTCTGCCTGCTCAATAATGTTCTATGAGACAACAAATAAAGTGGCTGGGACATCTTGTCAGTGAAGTTCTGTCTGCTCAATAATGTTCTATGAGACAATAAATAAAGTGGCTGTGACATCTTGTCAGTGAAGTTCTGCCTGCTCAATAATGTTCTTTAAACAATGAGACAACAAATAAAGTGGCTGGGACATCTTGTCAGTGAAGCATTGCCTGCTCAATAATGTTCTTTAAACAATGAGACAACAAATAAAGTGGCTGGGACATCTTGTCAGTGAAGCATTGCCTGCTCAATAATGTTCTTGAAACAATGAGACAACAAATAAAGTGGCTGTGACATCTTGTCAGTGAAGCATTGCCTGCTCAATAATGTTCTTTAAACAATGAGACAACAAATAAAGTGGCTGGGACATCTTGTCAGTGAAGTTCTGTCTGCTCAATAATGTTCTATAAGACAACAAATAAAGTGGCTGGGACATCTTGTCAGTGAAGCTCTGCCTGCTCAATAATGTTCTATAAGACAACAAATAAAGTGGCTGGGACATCTTGTCAGTGAAGCTCTGCCTGCTCAATAATGTTCTATAAGACAACAAATAAAGTGGCTGGGACATCTTGTCAGTGAAGTTCTGCCTGCTCAATAATGTTCTTTAAACAAAGAGACAACAAATAAAGTGGCTGGGACATCTTGTCAGTGAAGTTCTGTCTGCTCAATAATGTTCTTTAAACAATGAGACAACAAATAAAGTGGCTGGGACATCTTGTCAGTGAAGTTCTGTCTGCTCAATAATGTTCTTTAAACAATGAGACAACAAATAAAGTGGCTGGGACATCTTGTCAGTGAAGCATTGCCTGCTCAATAATGTTCTTTAAACAAAGAGACAACAAATAAAGTGGCTGGGACATCTTGTCAGTAAAGCATTGCCTGCTCAATAATGTTCTTTAAACAAAGAGACAACAAATAAAGTGGCTGGGACATCTTGTCAGTGAAGTTCTGTCTGCTCAATAATGTTCTTTAAACAATGAGACAACAAATAAAGTGGCTGGGACATCTTGTCAGTGAAGTTCTGCCTGCTCAATAATGTTCTTTAAACAATGAGACAACAAATAAAGTGGCTGGGACATCTTGTCAGTGAAGTTCTGTCTGCTCAATAATGTTCTTTAAACAATGAGACAATAAATAAAGTGGCTGGGACATCTTGTCAGTGAAGTTCTGCCTGCTCAATAATGTTCTATGAGGCAACAAATAAAGTGGCTGGGACATCTTGTCAGTGAATCTCTGCCTGCTCAATAATGTTCTATAAGACAACAAATAAAGTGGCTGGGACATCTTGTCAGTGAAGCTCTGCCTGCTCAATAATGTTCTTTAAACAATGAGACAATAAATAAAGTGGCTGGGACATCTTGTCAGTGAAGCATTGCCTGCTCAATAATGTTCTATGAGACAACAAATAAAGTGGCTGGGACATCTTGTCAGTGAAGCTCTGTCTGCTCAATAATGTTCTTTAAACAAAGAGACAACAAATAAAGTGGCTGGGACATCTTGTCAGTGAAGCTCTGCCTGCTCAATAATGTTCTTTAAACAATGAGACAACAAATAAAGTGGCTGGGACATCTTGTCAGTGAAGCTCTGCCTGCTCAATAATGTTCTATGAGACAACAAATAAAGTGGCTGGGACATCTTGTCAGTGAAGCATTGCCTGCTCAATAATGTTCTATGAGACAACAAATAAAGTGGCTGGGACATCTTGTCAGTGAAGTTCTGTCTGCTCAATAATGTTCTTTAAACAATGAGACAATAAATAAAGTGGCTGGGACATCTTGTCAGTGAAGTTCTGTCTGCTCAATAATGTTCTTTAAACAATGAGACAACAAATAAAGTGGCTGGGACATCTTGTCAGTGAAGCATTGCCTGCTCAATAATGTTCTATGAGACAACAAATAAAGTGGCTGGGACATCTTGTCAGTGAAGCATTGCCTGCTCAATAATGTTCTATGAGACAACAAATAAAGTGGCTGGGACATCTTGTCAGTGAAGCATTGCCTGCTCAATAATGTTCTATGAGACAACAAATAAAGTGGCTGGGACATCTTGTCAGTGAAGTTCTGTCTGCTCAATAATGTTCTATGAGACAACAAATAAAGTGGCTGGGACATCTTGTCAGTGAAGCTCTGCCTGCTCAATAATGTTCTTTAAACAATGAGACAACAAATAAAGTGGCTGGGACATCTTGTCAGTAAAGTTCTGTCTGCTCAATAATGTTCTATGAGACAACAAATAAAGTGGCTGGGACATCTTGTCAGTGAAGCTCTGCCTGCTCAATAATGTTCTTTAAACAATGAGACAACAAATAAAGTGGCTGGGACATCTTGTCAGTGAAGCTCTGTCTGCTCAACAATGTTCTATGAGACAACAAATAAAGTGGCTGGGACATCTTGTCAGTGAAGTTCTGTCTGCTCAATAATGTTCTATGAGACAACAAATAAAGTGGCTGGGACATCTTGTCAGTAAAGTTCTGTCTGCTCAATAATGTTCTATGAGACAACAAATAAAGTGGCTGGGACATCTTGTCAGTGAAGTTCTGTCTGCTCAATAATGTTCTTTAAACAATGAGACAACAAATAAAGTGGCTGGGACATCTTGTCAGTGAAGCTCTGTCTGCTCAACAATGTTCTATGAGACAACAAATAAAGTGGCTGGGACATCTTGTCAGTGAAGTTCTGTTTGCTCAATAATGTTCTATGAGGCAACAAATAAAGTGGCTGGGACATCTTGTCAGTGAAGTTCTGTCTGCTCAATAATGTTCTATGAGACAACAAATAAAGTGGCTGGGACATCTTGTCAGTAAAGTTCTGTCTGCTCAATAATGTTCTATGAGACAACAAATAAAGTGGCTGGGACATCTTGTCAGTGAAGTTCTGTCTGCTCAATAATGTTCTATGAGACAACAAATAAAGTGGCTGGGACATCTTGTCAGTGAAGTTCTGTCTGCTCAATAATGTTCTTTAAACAATGAGACAACAAATAAAGTGGCTGGGACATCTTGTCAGTTAAGCTCTACCTGCTCAAATTACAGAAACTAAATATCATCATCATGGGATGTGTCTATAAGCCTAAGCAATCACAGTTTGTAAACCTAGATGATCACCAGAATCATGGATCAGGTTAGTGTTTCTTTCTCATCCTACTCATATGGCTAAGCAATCTAGGTATTAATCTCTTCGCCTTACCCCTGAAAATAAACATTAAAAAAAGAAAAACCAGAAGTTATGACAACTGCAAGATCAGAAGAACCAATCAAGAATAGAAAAGCAGCAACTCAAGCAATTAAAAGACTTCAAGTGTCTAGGGAGCATAATATCATCCAACAGAAGAATGGAAGCAGAGAGAGATCACAGGTGTCAATCAAATAATTGGACAAATGGCACAAATTGTGCAAAACAATCATGTAACAATTGACACCAAAAGAGCACTATTCAATACAGTATTTTTTTAACGGACATTCTGTTACCAGTACTAAATGTGGACATTAACAACAACAACAACAAATCGAAACAACTGAAATAAAATGTCTACAACGAATCCTACATGTTACTAGAAAAGACAAGATCAGAAATGATATCAGGAATGAGGTTGGGATGAAACAAGTATCAAATTATATAAAGAGACAACAGATCAAATCATCTGGACATATGTCAAGACTAACACCAGACATTGTACCACAGACAGCTCTGTCACTCAAACATAATGGAAGCAGACCCAGAGGTAAACCACGCAAGCAACGGACAGATGGAATAGCCAAGGTCATAAATGCCCACTTCTATGTAGCACACACCAAGGCTTTCACACAATTCTAACAGGCAGAACAAGACTAGAGAAGGAGGAGGGGGAGAACAAGTCTTCCCCTTGCTCTCTTTCCCTCAACTTTGTCGGGTGTTACAAAGTTCTGAAGTACATCCCATATCACAAGATGTCAGAAAACAGTGACTGTCTACATCTACATTTTTTCATCAGTTGATGACACTCATCTGTTTTGAGGACTGCCTCATTTGGTATTCTATTATTCCACAATATTTTTTGTATTCAGTAACTCAAAAACCACAGTGAAACAAGCATTCCTTGTGTGGGTTCTGGGATCTCATTGAGGGAAAACACAGCAGACCTACTGCCTCGCTAACAAGTACATCGTAGGAGTCGACTGACTGAGGGCTTCTTGTGAAGTGGGAGTGCGCCTGCCCAGGTGGCAAGCAACAATCAACTGCACACAAATGAGCCAGTAAAATGGAAGTACACGCAAAACTCAGACCCTGGCACAAAACCAAAGTCCAAATGGACGAACAACTGGGACTTTCTGCCAAAGCTTGCAGCCAGTTAACAAAGAAGAAGAATATTACTTCAAAGATACAACAACATTTACTGTACAAACATATTAGAAAGTAGAGAAATACCTGCAGTGAGCAACTGTATGCAGCCAGATTTACAGAAATCCTCATTTCATTTAATAGTCAAAAGAAGAGAAAAGTTTCAAAAATATAAAAAGACAAGACAAATTTTAACAGCATTCAAGTAATATGGAAATGTTGCATTCTGGGATACTTATTCAAGCAAATTATAAATTACTGCTGCAAGAAATTAAGTGAGACATTATATATTTCTAGCAAAGTCACACTGCCTTACCTCATAGTTGTCAACAATACCCATTCTCTTCAAAGCCATCAGACGACTGAAACAAATGTGAATACAAAATACTTACACAGGGTAAAATCACTATTTTCAGTGTGTAATGTTTAGCAAACTTTAAAGGTTAATTTAGCATACAACAACAAAATTTAAACATTTGAGGTAATAATAATGAGTTTAAAAAAAAAAATAATAATAGTTAACTGCTAACAATAATTGGTAGTTTATTAACCAATACTGACTAGAATGGCTTCTGATTCCATTTACAATATACCTTGTACACGGTTCTTTAAGTAAATAATTATTGTAACTCTTGTGGTACATTTTTTGGATACGCTGTAGATGGTACAATTTTCTGGCTATCCTCCGAATAACGGGCACATATTGAGGCGGCTGCAAAAACACCCTAACAGGGCCTCAGTCGCATGTCATTTGCGCACTTCCGACAACTTAATTTGATTACTTCCGGCGACTACCACCACCGCCGAGAGTATCCCACACGCCGCTCACGCGGTGTCGATTGAGGCTAAGCTAAATGGCTGGGACTCACGAGCAGCAGCATCCACATCTCCTGCAGCTTTGCTCGTGAGTCCCAGCCATCTAGTTTAGCCCCAATCCAAGTCGCTCTCGGCGGTGGCGGTTGTCGCCGGAAAGCCGAAAAGGAAGTCGCCGGAAGTTTGCAATTTATATGTGACTGAGGCCCTGTTTTTGGCCACCATAATATGTGCCCGTTCTTCAGAGGATAGCCCTCATCCTGGTAACAATACAACTAGAATGCCCGGCTCTCCTTTGAATCAACCTCCAAAATGGCGGCTTTAATATGATGGCGTTCAAAAGAGAGCTAAATTGGCCAATTTCTTGTAATAAAATATCCGAATGCTGGTCAGTTCTATTAAAAATATATGTGCCGGCTCCGGATAACGAAACAAATGCTCTGTCAGGGTCTCGGCGATATGTTACTTGCCGACCTGCTTCTGCGAGTGTGCCTCACCGCCGAGCGTATCCACCGTGCCGCTACGCGCGGCGCGGATGGGGACTAAACTAGATGGCTGGGACTCACGAGCGGCAGCTACCGCATCTTCTGCAACTTCCTCCAATTACTTTACTCGTGAGTCCCAGGCACCTAGTTTAGTCCCCATCCGCGCCGCGCGTAGCGGCGCGGAGGATGCGCTCGGCGGTGAGGCACACTCGCAGAAGCAGGTCGGCAAGTAACGTATCGCCGAGACCCTGTCAGATCATTTGTATTGTCTGCTAGTATCGTCTGTAGAAACACTCAAAATTATCGTCTGCTCCTATCGTCTGCTGCTACTATTATCTGCAGAAACTGTCGGTATTTATCGTCTGCTACTACTACCGTGTGCAATGTTCATATTGTCAAGTAATCCTAGTTTTGCCGCGATTTGTTCCTTGGCAGATAGTGCGATTTTAGATATATGTGAACACCATCGTTCGGATATTTTATGGCCAGAATGTGGAATGCCGCCATTTTGGGGGTTGATTCAAAGGAGAGCCGAATGCCCTTGTACTGGAACCTACACTGCTAACTAAAAGAATAAAAGGCCTACTTTAAAAAAAAAAAAAACCTATATGGAGCAGGCAGTTAGTATTCAGTGAAAAAGGTAAGAAGAAAATAGAATGAGCTGCAGGTGATGTTTGAAGATAGGACGAGTTGTGTATGTCGATTGAGAACCTGTTCTCGGGTTGAGGGGGGGGGGGAATAAATAAAGATGACTACTTAGAAGAATTAAATAATGATAATAGGCACCTGTATGGGTTTGAGTCAACCACTTCTGCACTCATCTGAGCAATCGGCTGCCGTTTTGCGCTACCTGCCAACTCTTGAGCCCGTCTCCTCTCATTGTCCAACTTAGTTTTCAGATCTGCTATAGTTTTCTGCAGCTCTTCAATCGAAGACATTTTTACCTTCCTCTGCAAAAACTGACGGATAAGTAACAAGAACAATCGAAAACTAGTGACTATATAATAGTTTTTTAATGTAATTAGGATGTTTCTGTTCAGCGCTAGCTTCTACAAGGTTAGTAAAGCAGATATAGTTGCTATGGCTTTAGCGATGTAAAAGACAAATGTGGTCAGAGATCAGGGAAACCATGGTAAGTGTCTGTCGTCTGCTTCCTTTCACGTCAGCAAATAGTGGCCAGGCTTTCTGCCTTGCTGAAGCCACACTTACAATTTCTTTTTTCCTTTAGTAATTAATATAGTTTTTTTTTTTTCATTACATCGAATAATTAAAATATAATTTGAGATAAAGTACTATCTGTCGTTCAGTTTATTCATGTTTATCAAGCAATAACGTAAATATATGCATATACTAATTTGATTTTTGTAGGCTGGCAAAAGGAGTACATAAAGAGTACTATCAGTACGGAAAAGTCTTTATAAATAATTCTTTTACAAGGAAAGGGGAGAGGGATTACGCAGAGACAGACTCACGTTCATAAAATAATCATAACTGTGAAGTCCCCCGCTTGGGTTCCGGGGCCCCATTGTGGGGGAAACAAGAATAGACCCACTGCCTTCCCAAGAGCATGTCGTAAGAGTCGACTAATTGGGGAGCTTCCTTTGAAGTCGGAGTTCATCTGCCGGAGAGGCAAGGAACCAACAGTCTGTATTCAAGAGAATGAGATCTGGAAAACTGATGCACACGCAACACTCAGGTTCTGGAGCAGGACTGCAGTTCAGTAGTGGACGAGCAACCAGAACTTTCCACCAGAGTGTACAGCTGGTGAACCCGAAGAAGAAGAGGAAGAAGATAATCATATCCTTCCAAATAAATGTCCGACGTATACATACAATAAAAATAAGGTTTCTAGAATCATATTCAGTGATCACAACCCTACTATTCCGATTCTTGAATCACAGAGACTCAGCTTTAGTTTCGGGTTCATGGACGTCTGTATCTTTTTCCTCGTCGTGTCTGTAGACACATAAGACATTAACAAGTGATCTCCATACTGCTTTTCTGCCTATGGCATCCTGTGTCACTTTGCATTCCCTAATTTTCCTTTCTGATGCCCTCCAGGTTCCCTTAGGTCGTCCGTGTCTCCTTTTTAAATCTGGGCCCATCAGAAAGACGTCCTTGCCAAAGTATCACGAGGCATTTTGCAAACATGTCAAAACCAAATTTATCTTCTTTCTTTGATAACGTTTGCTAATGACGAGCATTATGTTTTCATTCTCAGCTCTTAATTTTGCTTTGTCGAGCCATAATACTTACAGGATTCTCCTTAGACACACATTTTGTAAAGTCTGTAATTTATTAGGAATTCCTGCTGTCATTTCCTAACAATCATTGTTATATAACAGGGACTGCCGTGATGTAACGGATAACTGCTCCCTTGTGGATCGGAAGGTCTCGGGCTTGGATCCTGAAGGAATCGAATTTTTTTCAGAATGACTTTGGCTCCCAGGTCGATCCAACCTGCGTGGTGTTGATCAGATCACCCACCGAGTGCCGATTGGTCTACAAAACCTAGGTCTAGCCCTATATGCCCCATACGTCTGAAGGTGTGGAAAAGGGTCCTGTGCTTTACTTTTGTTCTATAATAGTAATCCTTGAATTTGGTCTGACTAATCTGAGTTTTGTTTTCAACTCAGTCTCGTTGACAATAGAGCGTATGTGACTTTGTTGAGTTAAGACAACGTGTTTCTCTCTAGCTGTACGCAATACCCGTGCCTTTTTTTTTTTTTTTTTTGCGTCCATTTTTTTCCCATCGCAACTATAATAGACCCTTTGTCACGAGTAGCCACACCAATTTAGACAGCTTGGGGCAAGTACCAGCACCTTTATTCTTAAAAAAAAGCCTTTTTGTAGTTATAATGATAGTCCATGCCGTGTATATCTTCTATGCCTTCTGTCGCATGTACTCCTAGTCATGTATTATTTATATGTGTTCCTACGTGATATAATTCTATGCTATCTAACATCCCATCTGGTGGTCTCTCCCTGCTTTCTTTCCTTTCCTGTTGTCATGACATTATCTACCTCCCCCTTCTAATGACGTGTCCGAGGTCCATCCAGCCAAGCACTAGGCAATGTTCTGGGAAGTAAAAGCAGCTTGCTTGATGTTGACAACATCTCCCACCGCGCGTGGATATATCTTCAAAATTATGGGTCTTGCGTCATGTACCGAACCTGCCATTGGTTAAAAGAGGGTCTTTTTAACCTACTTACCGGACACTTTCACGGAGGTGCATAATAATGGGGATTGTGGCATTCTGATTTATGTGGCCAGTTTTTTTAGAGCTAATTTTGTTCAACAAATCTTCTGATATTTATATAGGGTGTCAACTTTCTTTAAAAAAAAAATCTGTAGTATCAATATTTTTTATGGATGTGCTCATTCCCCATGTTTCCTAGCTTTGTATTAGATTGGCAGTTTGGCTCACTATAACTTTAGGTTTCTTTGTCACTTCTTTCTCTTTTCTGAACATATTGCTCCGTGTACACATGTCTCTATTTCAGATTTATTTGTGACTGATATTTCAGTTTGAGTTTGCGTGCATGTTTTTTTTTTTTTTTAAACTGGCTTATTTATGAAGACTTCAGACAAAACCTTGACGACTTTAGATTACTCAGTAATTACCTGGAGGCGATTACAATTGAACGGGTTTAGCGCAATTTGAACATGCAGGATTCATGTCTTGGAAGTGTCAATCCCGTAGACTGCAATCCTGCAAGGATCAAACTGCAATGTAATGCGGCATGATACTATGGCGCTCAAAGCTACCTGCTTATAATTTTCTGTTTCATTTTCCAGCACGGTATGGAAACCTGCAGGCTAGACGCCCGCCTGCGGATCGGAAGATCGTGGGTTCGCACCCTGAAGGAGCACGACTTTTTTTCATAAATGACCTTGACTCCCAGGTTAACCCAGCTTGGAGTGAGTACTAGATGCAGTCATGGGAAGTAAAGGCGACCGGCGTGATGCTGACCACATCACTGACCAAGAGCCGATTGGTCTATAAAAATGTAGGTCTAACCGTATATTCCGAATACACCTAAAGGCGCGGAAAAGGGACTTTTTCTGCTGTTGCTGTTTCCACCGTGGCATTGAAACATGCACGGTTTCGTATAAAACCAAAGAATGAAGGAAAATATGGATAACCCAGGCAGAAGATATCACCAAACAGATGCTCTCACTCAAGCAGGTACAGAGAAGATAGCAATTGATTGACAGCAGCAGACACAACACAACTTCCAAGAGGTCACCATCATATGACATTATGAAGTAGTCAACTTTCAGAATTATCCTGTTCAACCCTCAGGGTTACCATTGGGATATTTGGCGCTGACTCATGTTTTCAGAATATATATTTGTTATTTTACATTTATGTATCGTGTAATAATTTATATGACCAAAGTGTAATTTGTATTGTCTCACATTTGGCTTTGATTTGGCTTGTGTTTATGATAGAAATTTCACTAGGAATAATTAGACTAACATTGTGTCATTAACACAGTGGATATATTATTTCCTTAGTTTGCAGTAAATGATTATTATCCTCGATTTTATCTTTAGGGGACATGTTTTCAAAGACGGCATGAGCATTCTCTACCCTTCTTTTTCTGGATTTTGTCTGATTGACAAACTGTTTGACGGTGCTACTCAGTTCTCTGGGGCTGTTTATGTGCGGCAAGTTTTCCATCATCATTCGTAATTTACAGAGATTCACTTAGTCAGACAGCATGTGTAGAGGTTAGTCAGTATGTTTAACAATTTCACCATCCTCAAGCACACAGTGATTGATTTCTATGATGGCTATATAGTTTTTTTTTTTATACTACTTGTGACAATATTACAACATATAACAGACTGGAGGCCTATCAGCAAAGTAGGAGAGATAGAAAGTATAAAACAAGAACTCAGAAAATGGCTACCTGCTAATTTGCAGTTGTTGAGAACACCTGGCCTAACCTCGGCAGAAAAACACTCGTTGTAGAGCAACATCCCCATAAACTGGTGGTACAAGCTTCAAATGAATAGGGCACTGGCCTAGAAAAACTGAAACAAAGATGCTTGTAAGAGAATAAGGTGATCTATTGATAACTGAACTAAGGAGGCACAGTTAGGAATTAGAACTTCTGCTATGGAAGAACACAACATATGCATATATAAATGCGAAACAATCTGAGGCCAGCGGAAGAGAGAACGTGACATAGATACCTAAACTGGATGATGGAGTCATTCAATGTGAATAACTAAATAGCTGAGTGTCTATACAAATAACATGGTTACTGTTTTACAAAGACAGAGACACGTGTTCTGATGAATACAGTGGGCAGACATTTAGGCAGGTACTTGCTCCGAGACCTACAGTTTGGCATCCTTTGGGTGAATAACTCTAGCTGGTGATAATGGTGAAACTGAGAATTCATGAAACTTTTCAGAATGTCTAGTGAGTAGTATTTATGTTTGTAGTGTCCTCATCATCAGGTGCCTTGCCAAATGGCGTAGACGATCATGCCTCTCCACAATCTGCGATCTCCTGCAGCATTTATCAGTTCGTGTGCCGACACACCTCCATGCCATGCAACAAGACTGTCAAGAATCTTCTCTCATTGTCTTCCTCTATCCCTCCTTCCACAGATCTTTCCAGTCTCTACAACATGTTTTATTTACCCTCTTCTCATAACATAGCCAAATAATTATGACTATCTCCGTCTGATGTCTGTGATAAGTTGTCTTCGGGCTCCTGCCTCTTTCAAAACCTCTTGTTTGCTCTTTTTGGCTGTCCAAGGTATTCTAAGCATTCTTAAATGAAGTATGTCAGTCTCTTAGGTCTATAACCAGGCTCATACTGTTGTGGTAGAAAAGGAATGGCATGTGTGCCAAGACCACAAGTGAATAGTTAAAGTTTTAAGCAATGAAGAATCCTTACACTCAGAATTAACAGTGATTTCCAATTCCATCACTGTTAAGAACACACCGTATTTGAAACACATACATTCAGGGAAATGACTGACAGGGTATTTTGTTGGTGGTGAATCCTCAGGAAGACTGGGTTTTGCAAAGTGAACCTGGTGCAAACAGGTTTTCTGAACCCTGAAAAGGGCATAAAGACATGGGAATTACAGCGGATGGCAAGAGAAACTAGCAGGAGCTGCTGGCATTCAGAAGTCTTCCTGAATTAGAGCATGGGATGTCAGGACCAATGTTGTCAACACGTGTTTAACGTGCTGCTCCTGAGATGTACAGCACCCAACATATCTGTAATCATTTCCTCATTTATAACTTTTCTTTTCCTGACACCCCCCCCCCCCCCCCCCCCCCTCCTTTTCCATGCAACACAGTCCATGGAACCCTAATTCCATCTCAGTACCTGTATCATTCATGTCCCACCTGCACACACATTTGTATCATAGTAAAGGCTTATCTCAACATCTTCTACCCATCTGTAAGTCACCACAGAGGATGTTCTTAGAGACTCTATCATCCTCCATCCATGAAGTGTGTCCTAGCCAGCTGAGCCTTCAAAGACTGAGCTTTGAGAAAACTGGTGATACCTGCTATCTTCAATACCTCAGTGTTTGTGATCTTGTCTTGCCAACTTATACCAAGTATTCTACGTAGGCATTGCATGTGAATGCTATTTAACCCTTCTCCTGGTGTCAGTAAGTTGACCAAGTTTCACTACTGTTAAGCAGAGTGCTTAAAACACATGTTTGATAGACAAGGGTTTTTGTTTTAACCATGAGATTCCTGCTCTCCCAAACTTTGTGTCTGTGTTAACCTGCTCATTGTTGTTACCTCCTTACCTATCCTCCTGTTGATTGATGTCTTGGTCCGGTGATAGTCTGTCACTGACTGATGATCCAAAGAATTATGACAGTCATATAAAAACCACAGATTACAACTGAACTGACGCGATAAAACCAAAGACAATGTAGATGACAACAACAATGCCATCAGAAAAGACAAACAGTTGTTTTAATTGACACTCTAAACAAATAACCAACTCTATGAACAGGAAACAAGCATGACAATAATAAACTATTAATAGCAAAAGCCACACCTAACAACTCAAGTCTATGATACAAAACATGAAATAAGACAGACACATATTAACTTTATCAACAAGATCCTGAAATATGACAAAAATCATATATCAAGACTATGATAAAGAATTTGGAATTACCCCCGTGTGGGTTCCGGGGCCCTTTTGTGGGGAAAACAAGAATAGACCCACTGCCTCCCCAAAAGCATGTCGTAAGAGTCGACTAACTGGGGAGCTTCTTTTGAAGTCGGAGTGCATCTGCCTGAGAGGCAAGGAACCAGCAGTCTGCATTCAATTGAATCAGATCTGTAAAACTGATGCACACGCAACACTCAGGTTCTGGAGCAGGACTGCAGTCCAGAAGTGGACGAACAACCAGAACTTTACGCCAGAGTGTACAGCTGGTGAACGCGAAGAAGAAGAAGAATTTGGAATTAGAACAAATATCACATATCAAGTCTGTGATAAATAATGTGGAATTAGACACAAATCACACATCAAGTCTGTGAGGCATATTTCCCCAACTATCATTAATTAAAAAAGCATGGAAACCAAGGTGGTGCAGTGGCTAGCAAGCTTGCTTGCTGGCCTGGTGGTTTCAAGTTCAAATCCTCATTAAAGCAAGAATTTCTGTTCAAAACTGACACGGCTCTCGTGTCAGCCAAACCAAAAAATATCGACCAGGAAATATTCTGGGGATGAAAGGTAACGAGCGTGGCATTGAAACATAATTATGATTGGTGAAGAATGGGCAGACATTTTGAATATTTAAGTATCTCCCAGCAACACAACTATTTATTGTATTTCATAGTGTACAATTCTAAATTGGAATCAGAATATTACAAGATGTGGAGATCATGTCAAAGAAAACAACGTGAAACAAAAAGCCTTCAGGTAAAGTTGTAAATGATAGGAAAGTTTTGTAGACAAAAGCAATCATAAACTGAGCTGGCGGGGACTAGTTAGGCATGTACTGATGTCAGTCCATTTGTAGCAAACAGAAGAAGCAGACATCTGAACAGACACTATAAGACATCAGAGTTGTGTTCATCTGCAGGACAGTCCAACCACATTTCTTCTAACACACTGAGCCCTTAAGGTTCACTGCTGCAGACACCGCTCGTGACCATTCATCTCTCTAATGGACCTTCTCTTTCCAACATGTGCCCAAGTAAAATCTTGGCTCACCACAGCAGTGTACTATGCAGTGCAAACACAACACTTTCCAATTACCACTTTTCAACATCGTAACAAATGACTGACAAAAGGTAACAAATTTAACAAGTATTAAAAACAAATTTTATATAAATATATATACACACATTACGAAACAAATAAGTTGCAATGTATCAACAGCGTGGAGAATATACCATTGTTTTGGGCTCAAACATCAAACAATATTCTGTCAGCTTTGTGGACAGTGAGTGAGCCATAAGAGTAACAGATCTGGTGCAAGAAAGTCCTTCTGCGTAGCTAGGTTTCTGTTTCCACGAGTGATGCATACTTAGAGCATCGTAGCTGAAACAAGGGCAGTCGCAGTGGCTAACATGCCTACCTGCCATAATGGTGATCACAGGTGTGAATCCCCATAAAAGTTAAAAAAAAAAAAAGAAATTTTTTTTTAAAATTCACCTGTGTTGCTAACTAAATCCAGCGTAAAGCTGACATCAGAAAATGTCCTGGGAAGCAAAGAGGTAAGCTGAATACCACACAACTCATCTAGTTCTGACTAACCTGTACAGGGACCAGGTTAGCATTGTCTGCTCCATGGAGTCGTGGTAGCTATATGCTCATCTGCCGGCCTAAAGTTCTAGGATTCAAGTCCGCATTAAGGCAGATTTTTTTTTTCTGAACTCAACTTAGCTCATAGGTCAAGCCAGCCTAAAATGGCTACCAGGTAATGTCTCTTAAGACCCTCCTACCTACACAAGGCATCTTGTCTTTCTTCACTCAACCTCCAGTTTAAGAAACATCTCGTCTCCTCAGTCAACCTCCATCTAAGACATCTCATCCTGTGGTCTCGTCTCATTCATCTTCCCACCTTCTCCTTCCCTCCTCAGTCAGCCTCCCATTCTCTCTTCCTCATCATCACTGACGATACTAGCGATGACACCTCCGCGTTTAAAGGAATCTTTTCTGCTAATGGCATCGTGGATCAAGCCAGAGGACAGGTGTGGGTCTTCTATGCCATACCTGAAGCAGAAACAAAGTTTATAACAATCAATTGAAACAGAATTTATTATATTTCATAAAAATCATTGATAAACATACAAAATACATTTTAAAAAAACATCAGTGTATTCATAAAAATCACCAGTTATAGGAATAAATGTATTTCATACAAATTATTGGTAATGATATTCAATTAAAGCACAGACAGTGGAATACCATTCCTTCATTAAGTCGTTGATAAATGGATTCAGATCCAATACTGCCCAAGCTAAAGGAGGACATATCATGCATCTTTGCCATGCCGCCACCTAATCATCAATAAAAAATAATAACAACATACTGACAAAGGTTCAAGTACAGATCAGATCACTGCACTGCACTGCCATTAAGCTGGTGAGTTTCTGGACACACTGCTGAAACACTCTAAGAAAACAAACATAAACACAGTTAAAACACGGAGGGACACACTTACCACAACACAGAGGGACACACTTACCAAAACACAGAGGGACACACTTACCACAACACAGAGGGACACACTTACCACAACACAGAGGGACACACTTACCACAACACAGAGGGACACACTTACCAAAACACAGAGGGACACACTTACCACAACACAGAGGGACACACTTACCACAACACAGAGGGACACACTTACCACAACACAGAGGGACACACTTACCACAACACAGAGGGACACACTTACCAAAACACAGAGGGACACACTTACCTAAACACAGAGGGACACACACTTACCAAAACACAGAGGGACACACTTACCAAAACACAGAGAGACACACTTACCAAAACACAGAGAGACACACTTACCAAAACACAGAGGGACACACTTACCACAACACAGAGGGACACACTTACCACAACACAGAGGGACACACTTACCACAACACAGAGGGACACACTTACCACAACACAGAGGGACACACTTACCACAAACACAGAGGCCCACACTACCACATACCTGCAGATGACAGTAAGACACAACCTCATCAGCAGGGGACTGCAACTGTCTAGAGAGCAAATTCGATGAAAGCTGTCCCCAGAAATGGAATGTATCAACCATATTTTTTGCAGGGATGAATCGACACATACGATTAACTCAATGGCCATTAGACCTATCGTTAAAGGTTTAAAACACATCCCAGGGCCACACACAAACAAGAACTGGATTCTAAACAAATGCTACTGCTTCATCATCATGATCAAGTGCCATGTCAACTGGCATGGGTGATATTGCTTCTCTAGATCCTGTAATCCCCAACAGAATGAATGTGTGTGTGTGCCGACACCTTTCTGCAGCATCACACAACAGCTGTCACAACACTACTCCTACTGTCACAACACTTCTCTCAGCTGTCACAACAATTCTCTCATCCGTCACAACACTTCTCTCAGCGGTCACAACACTTCTCTCACTGTCTTACTTTAACTCTGTTTCCAAAAATCTTGATTGATCAAATCATGGACATATTCAAGTTGTAAACATGTTTGGTCATTCTTAAAATATGACGCCCCCCCCTCCCTCCCCCAATTGACAACTGCCTCTCTCTAATGTTTTATGACAAACAGCCTCTCTCCTTATGTTTTATGACAAACTGTCTCTCTCCTAATGTTTTATGACAAACTGCCTCTCTCCTAATGTTTTATGACAAACTGCCTCTCTCCTAATGTTTTATGACAAACTGTCTCTCTCCTAATGTTTTATGACAAACTGCCTCTCTCCTAATGTTTGATGACAAACTGCCTCTCTCCTAATGTTTTATGACAAACTGCCTCTCTCCTTATGTTTTATGACAAACTGTCTTTCTCCTAATGTTTTATGACAAACTGTCTTTCTCCTAATGTTTTATGACAAACTGCCTCTCTCCTAATGATGATCATCTACTGATGATCGCTACACTTCAACTACACCCAGCTCATAAAAAGCTCTTAGCACAATTATTCATATATGACTGGAAATCCAGCAAAACATTTCTAGAGGACGGCAGTCAATCTCAGGCCAACCCTCCAGGTTATCTCATACATCATGCATTGTAGGCTACAGTTACTACCCTTTGCCCCCATCTGCGCTCTGAGACACACGGACAGTTACTGATACATACCAGGTATTAATTGGGTTAATGTTCTTTGATCGCCAGAACAAAGTCTTTTCTGATTGGGTAATGGTGTCCCACAAGAGTTCACCTGTGCCCTGGCCTTGGGCTTTGTTAGTGACAGCAAACTTGCACAGGTAGGGCACACCTTGTTCCTCACATCGCAAAAGAATAGCCACACCACTGTACCTGTGTCAACAGAGAAAGTAGGCAGAAAATAAAGCCACAGTAGAGACACAAGCTGGTTAGTCCATAGATGATTCTAACTGCATATCGGATCCCCTCCTCAGTAAATCCCAAAGCGTGCAGCAGCTGATGACACTAGCACTGTGCTTGTCTGGCCACACCTCTTTTAACATGCTGTTCTTGCAGTCTGGTCAAGGTTGTAGATCCACCACTTGGTTCTCGCATTCAGTACCTCAGCCTGATCCGTGGCTCATCGACCAATCACAGTAGCTTTACTAGCAAGCCTGTCAACTCCTTCATTTCCTTGCACACCAGCGTGCCCTGGCACATATATGAAACTGACATGGGTTAGTCCCAACCACCTCAGAGACTCCAACCACTGTATTATCCCAGCCTATCTTATTGAGTACAAGAAACATCTGAAATGAGTGGATCGATTCTGATTATCTGATTAGTTACCTGCGTTAGCGGAGCAGCAGTAGGGTAGTTGTTAGATAATGGACTGCCGGTCCTAAGGTCTAAGGTTTAAATCATCACTGAGTTTTCATAAGTGACCTTGATTCTCAGGTCTGCCGATGAGTACTAGGCAATGTCCTGGGAAATAAACCTGGACAGCATGATGTTTAACATGTCACCCACAGCGAGCTGACTGGATGTTTAACATGTCACCCACAGCGAGCTGACTGGATGTTTAACATGTCACCCACAGCGAGCTGACTGGATGTTAACATGTCACCCACAGCGAGCTGACTGGATGTTTAACATGTCACCCACAGCGAGCTGACTGGATGTTTAACATGTCACCCACAGCGAGCTGACTGGATGTTTAACATGTCACCCACAGCGAGCTGACTGGATGACACAAATACAGGTCCAGCAATTTCTGGTGATTTTGATTTTAACCTGTATTAAACAGAAGCACATTTCAGAAACAAATAAGATCATCAGATTATTTATCACTGATGACAAACAGTAGTCAGCCAGACACCTTGTCAATTCCTCTGCCTTCTATATTTTCACCTTAAAGGTATAACTTGTGTCCTTTGTCCACTTTTATGCTGGTCAATATGACTGAAGTATTTCAGTTTCTGAGACATGATACTGTTTACGAACCAGTTTTGTTCGGTGTTCAGACCTTGCAGAATGTCAGTACTTTTTCTTCTTCCTGATTCATGGTATTATAAGAACTGGTCTGTAACTGAAGTTCGACAATCCTGATATAATTCTTTGGTGACTCCAAACTTGTACAGGTAGGGCACAACTTTGCTCTTTGGTGACCGCAAACTTGTACAGGTAGGGCATAACTTTGCTCTCTGGTGACCCCAAACTTGTACATTTAGGGCACAACTTTGTTTTTTGGTGACAGCAAACTTGTACAGGTAGGGCACAACCTTGCTCTTTGGTGACCCCAAACTTGTACAGGTAGGGCACAACCTTGTTCTTTGGTGCTTGCAAACTAGTCCATGAATTACATTTGTATGTTGCCACAGGAAAGATGCCTTTCTTAGAATTTATACTTTAATTAGTAATCCAGTGAAGGGCCACAGATATTTCATGTTATTTTATCTCTGTACCGGAGTGGCTGGCTGAATGGTTATAACTCTAGGTTCCTATGTATTGTGTATCTCTGCACCGGACTGGCCGACTAGTTACAACTCTAGATTTTCACGTATTGTTTCTCTGTACTGGAGGGGCTTGGCGAGTGATCTGAAGTCTGGGTTTTCATGTATTGTATCTCTGCACCAGAGTGGCCGGCCGAGTGGTTACAACTGTGGATTTTCAAGTATTGTATCTCTGCACCAGAGTCGCTTGGCGAGTGATCTGAGGTCTGGGTTCTCATGTATTGTATCTCTGCACTGGAGTGGCCAGCCGAGAGGTTAAAACTCTAGGTTCTCATGTATTGTATCTCTGCACCGGAGTAGCCGGCCGAGTGGTTTTAACTCTAGGTTCTTATGTACTGTATCTCTGCACCAGAGTGGCCGGCCGAGTAGTTTCAACTCTAGGTTCTTATGCACTGTATCTCTGCTCCAGAGTGGCCGGCCAAGTGGTTACAACTCTAGGTTCTCATGTATTGCATCTCTGCACCGGACTGGCCAGCCAAGTGGTTACAACTCTAGGTTCTCATGTATTGTATCTCTGCACCGGAGTGGTCGGCCGAGTGGTTACAACTCTAGGTTCTCATGTATTGTATCTCTGCACCGGAGTGGCCGGCCGAGTGGTTACAACTCTAGGTTCTCATGTATTGTATCTCTGCACCGGAGTGGCCGGCCAAGTAGTTACAACTCTAGGTTCTCTTGTATTGTATCTCTGCACCTGAGTGGCTGGCTGAGGGGTTACAACTCTAGGTTCTCATGTATTGCATCTCTGCACCAGAGTGGCCGGCCGAGTGGTTACAACTCTAGGTTCTCATGTGGGAATCCTCCATCAGGTGATGGAAGTTTTTTGTTTTTTTTCTGTTGATAGAAAAAAATTGAGAGCCTAACCTGCACAGTTCATGGCAAATGTACCAGAAGAGCTAATTAAATAACAACTTACGTCTCAGACAAATATATGGCATAGATCTGGTCAGCACCAGTTAAATAACAACCTACATCTCTGACAAATATATGGCATGGATTTGGTCAGCACCAGTTAAATAACAACTTACGTCTCAGACAAATATATGGCATGGATCTGGTCAGCACCAGTTAAATAACAACTTACGTCTCAGACAAATATATGGCATGGATCTGGTCAGGAGCAGCTAAATAACAACTTACGTCTCAGACAAATATATGGCATAGATCTGGTCAGCACCAGTTAAATAACAACTTACATCTCAGACAAATATATGGCATGGATTTGGTCAGCACCAGTTAAATAACAACTTACATCTCAGACAAATATATGGCATAGATCTGGTCAGCACCAGCTAAATAACAACTTACATCTCAGACAAATATATGGCATGGATTTGGTCAGCACCAGCTAAATAACAACTTACATCTCTGACAAATATGTGGCATGGATTTGGTCAGCACCAGCTAAATAACAACTTACGTCTCAGACAAATATATGGCATAGATCTGGCCAGCACCAGTTAAATAACAACTTACATCTCAGACAAATATATGGCATAGATCTGGTCAGGAGCAGCTAAATAACAACTTACATCTCAGACAAATATATGGCATAGATCTGGTCAGCAGCAGTTAAATAAACAACTTACATCTCTGACAAATATATGGCATGGATTTGGTCAGCACCAGTTAAATAACAACTTACGTCTCAGACAGATATATGGCATAGATCTGGTCAGCACCAGTTAAATAACAACTTACATCTCAGACAAATATATGGCATAGATCTGGTCAGGAGCAGCTAAATAACAACTTACATCTCAGACAAATATATGGCATAGATCTGGTCAGCACCAGTTAAATAACAACTTACATCTCAGACAAATATATGGCATAGATCTGGTCAGCACCAGTTAAATAACAACTTACATCTCAGACAAATATATGGCATGGATTTGGTCAGCACCAGCTAAATAACAACTTACGTCTCAGACAAATATATGGCATGGATCTGGTCAGGAGCAGCTAAATAACAACTCAAGTCTCAGACAAATATATGGCATAGATCTGGTGAGGAGCAGCTAAATAACAACTTACGTCTCAGACAAATATATGGCATGGATTTGGTCAGCAATGTCATCGAAATAGGTCTCCTTGATCTCCACCATGAAAGACCTGGCCACACACAAACAAAATTAACAAGGGTATTTCCATGAAAGTAACTGAGTGTCTGCGTGCGCACTTGCATGCAGGTGAGTGTATGTATAAATTCTCATTTACTGAAAGAACTCTGTACGTACAAATAAAGGTTGTAAGATAATATTAGACAACACATTAAACAACACAAAAACCAAAGGCTAAGGACACAATGTGATCTGTGCCTGCTACATTCTCCTGGTGTGAGCTCCAGGGCCCTATTGTGGGGAAACAAGAACAGACAAGCATGTTGTAGGAGTTGATTAACTGGGGGCAACGACTGAAGACAGTGTACATCTGCCTGAGTAGGCTCCCCTACGTCATTTAGTAGCACTGCAGTTTCAACAGCAGGGGGCTGGCTCAGAATGAGAGAGCAGGAATTAAGCGGGGAGATATGGAACTCAAGTTCTGAATGAAAGATATAAACTGTTGAACCAACACTGGTGGCATCAGCTGTCTTGTACCCTTAAACATTCTTAAATCTCAGCCCCAATGAACAGATCCAGCCTGACCAAAGGGAACTTATCCACTGGAAGAGGCTGGCATGCAATGACAAAAGTCTTTAACTTTGTAATCTGACAATACAATGATGGCTTGCCATTTTACATGATCACCATCTCTGATCAAGTCTATGTTCTTGTCACAATCATGGCCAAGCTATTCAGGTATTTATCTCTGATTTTCCCCTTTCTCTATTCATATAAAAACTGCAGTTATCACTAACTTTTTCAAGTTGTTCTCCTTATAACGTCCTAACATCTTGCCTGTCTATACCTAGTTTCTCCAATCAGTTTGAGGCTTGCATCTGTTTCATAGAGGACTGCTTTGTTCAGTTTTCCATTAGAGTTTCTTTGGCTTGTTTGATGATTGTCCACATTGATGTTATCTAATCCTAGAGATTTCCACTGCTAGAGATTTACATTTACACTACTAGAGATTTACATTTCCACTGCTAGAGATTTACATTTACACTACTAGAGATTTACATTTCTACTACTAGAGATTTACATTTCCACTGCCATTTGAGTTTTTTTTAGCTTGTCTGACAACTGTCCATATTTCACAAGCATAGAAGATCACAGTTTCAATTTAATATTCCTTTTCTCAGTGTAACTGTTTTTCCTGATGATTCATCAACTCTCATTTCTGTTTCTTTTGGCCTCGCTGCCATTATCTCTAAATGTGTTGCATGTATGACTTGTCTCTGTGATACACTCCCTTACCTGTTCAATAAGGCTGTCAGTCGCTCCAAGTCGATACCTTTGAGAGAGGTGTATTTATGAATGGCTTCCGTAGCTCGAAAAAATGTCCCTGACCCTGTAGAAGAACAAACATTAAGAACCTTATCTACAAATCTTCATTATATTCACCAACAAAACAATTTTTGTTAATTGTGCAGTAAAAATAAGCCAAGGACCTTTTGCATAATTCCGGTGCATCAGGAATAGGCTTATATGTTATAGATAAATCAGCACTTATCTGAAAAAGTTTTGGCTGTCTTTTACTTCCCAGGTCATTTCCTGTAGCTATTTTAGGCTGGATAAACCTAAAAGCTAAAAAAAAAATAATATTAAAAGAAAAAAAAAACACACACACACACACTGGCCTGGATCTGAACATTAGACCTTGAGACCAGCAGGCTAGTATCTCGCCGACACACTGCCGAGGCTCCCTTTGCTAATTATACAGCCAAACTGACAGCTTCAGAAATTGGACATTGTTGATCAGAGGGAAGATACATGAAACAGGTTGAACAGGGAGGACAAGCAACAGCTGCATTTCAGAAGATGAAATATCAGAAAGTGAGTTTGTAATCTTGTTCTGCTGTATGTCAGCAAATCTTGTTCTGCTGTATGTCAGCAAATCTTGTTCTGCTGTATGTCAGCAAATCTTGTTCTGCTGTATGTCAGCAAATCTTGTTCTGCTGTATGTCAGCAAATCTTGTTCTGCTGTATGTCAGCAAATCTTGTTCTGCTGTATGTCAGCAAATCTTGTTCTGCTGTATGTCAGCAAATCTTGTTCTGCTGTATGTCAGCAAATCTTGTTCTGCTATATGTCAGCAAATCTTGGAATGTGGAAGGAGCTTGGAGACAACAACGATTGTTTCTGAGGAGATTATTGTTGAGAACACTATAGACTGACAGAGTAAATAACAATAGCCTGGAAGAGAGGATGAAAGCAGACAATTGTCTACGCCCTGTAAGGATTCTAAGGTCTCATTTTGGAAAAGGTGGGGGGGGGGGGGGGGGGGGGGGGATCTACTGCTCCTCAACAAGCTCGCCAGAAAAAGTGACTAATTAAAATTTTTGCCGAAATCTGATCTGTTAGGCCGAAATCTGATCTGTTGGGCCGAAATCAGATCTGTTGGGCCGAAATCTGATCTGTTGGGCCGAAATCTGATCTGTTGGGCCGAAATCATATCTGTTGGGCCAACATCAGATCTGTTGGGCCGAAATCTGATCTGTTGGGCCGAAATCATATCTGTTGGGCCGAAATCTGATCTGTTGGGCCGAAATCTGATCTGTTGGGCCGAAATCTGATCTGTTGGGCCGAAATCATATCTGTTGGGCCGACATCAGATCTGTTGGGCCGAAATCTGATCTGTTGGGCCGAAATCTGATCTGTTGGGCCGAAATCTGATCTGTTGGGCCGAAATCTGATCTGTTGGGCCGAAATCTGATCTGTTGGGCCAACATCTGATCTGTTGGGCCAACATCTGATCTGTTGGGCTGAAATCTGATCTGTTGGGCCGAAATCTGATCTGTTGGGCTGAAATCTGATCTGTTGGGCCAACATCTGATCTGTTGGGCCGAAATCTGATCTGTTGGGCCGAAATCTGATCTGTTGGGCCGAAATCTGATCTGTTGGGCTGAAATCTGATCTGTTGGGCCGAAATCTGATCTGTTGGGCCGAAATCTGATCTGTTGGGCCGAAATCTGATCTGTTGGCCGAAATCTGATCTGTTGGGCCGAAATCTGATCTGTTGGGCCGAAAATCTGATCTGTTGGGCCGAAATCTGATCTGTTGGGCCGAAAATCTGATCTGTTGGGCCGAAATCTGATCTGTTGGGCCGAAATCTGATCTGTTGGGCCGAAATCTGATCTGATCTGTTGGGCCGAAATCTGATCTGTTGGGCCGAAATCTGATCTGTTGGGCCGAAATCTGAATGTTGGCCGAAATCTGATCTGTTGGGCCGAAATCTGATCTGTTGGGCCGAAATCTGATCTGTTGGGCCGATCTGATCTGTTGTTGGGCCGAAATCTGATCTGTTGGGCCGAAATCTGATCTGTTGGGCCGAAATCTGATCTGTTGGGCCAACATCAGATCTGTTGGGCCGAAATCTGATCTGTTGGGCCGAAATCTGATCTGTTGGGCCGAAATCTGATCTGTTGGGCCGACATCAGATCTGTTGGGCCGAAATCTGATCTGTTGGGCCGAAATCTGATCTGTTGGGCCGAAATCTGATCTGAAATCTGTTGTTGGGCCGAAATCTGATCTGTTGGGCCGATCTGATCTGTTGGCCAAAATCTGATCTGTTGGGCCGAAATCTGATCTGTTGGGCCGAAATCTGATCTGTTGGGCCGAAATCTGATCTGTTGGGCCGAAATCTGATCTGTTGGGCCGAAATCTGATCTGTTGGGCCGAAATCTGATCTGTTGGGCCGAAATCTGATCTGTTGGGCCGAAATCTGATCTGTTGGGCCGAAATCTGATCTGTTGGGCCAACATCAGATCTGTTGGGCCGAAATCTGATCTGTTGGGCCGAAATCTGATCTGTTGGGCCGAAATCTGATCTGTTGGGCCGAAATCTGATCTGTTGGGCCGAAATCTGATCTGTTGGCCGATCTGTTGGGCCGAAAATCTGATCTGTTGGGCCGAAATCTGATCTGTTGGGCCGAAATCTCTGAAATCTGATTGTTGCCGAAATCTGATCTGTTGGGCCGAAATCTGATCTGTTGGGCCGATCTCTGTTGGGCCGAAATCTGATCTGTTGGGCCGAAATCATCTGTTGGGCCGAAATCTGATCTGTTGGGCCGAAATCTGATCTGTTGGGCCGAAATCTGAAATCCATCTGTTGGGGGCCGAAATCTGATCTGTTGGGCCGAAATCTGATCTGTTGGGGCCGAAATCTGATCTGTTGGGCCGAAATCTGATCTGTTGGGCCCGAAATCTGATCTGTTGGGCCGAAATCTGATCTGTTGGGCCGAACATCTGATCTGTTGGGCCGAAAATCTGATCTGTTGGGCCCGAAATCTGATCTGTTGGGGCCGAAATCTGATCTTGATCTGGGGCCGAAATCTGATCTGTTGGGCCGAAATCTGATCTGTTGGGCCGAAATCTGAACCTGTTTCCGAATCTGATCTGTTGGGCCGAAATTCTGATCTGTTGGGCCGAAATCTGATCTGTTGGGCCGAAATCTCTGATCTGTTGGGCCGAAATCTGATCTGTTGGCCGAAATCTGATCTGTTGGGCCGAAATCTGATCTGTTGGGCCGAAATCTGATCTGTTGGGCCGAAATCTGATCTGTTGGGCCGAAATCTATATCTGTTGGGAAAATCAGATCTGTTGGGCCGAAATCTGGATCTGTTGGGGCCGAAATCTGATCTGTTGGGCCGAAATCTGATCTGTTGGGCCGAAATCTGGATCTGTTGGGCTCTGATCTGTTGGCCGAAATCTCTGTTGGGCCGAAATCTGATCTGTTGGGCCGAAATCTGATCTGTTGGGCCGAAATCTGATCTGTTGGGCCGAAATCTGATCTGTTGGGCCGAAATCTGATTGTTGGGCCGAAATCTGATCTGTTGGGCCGAAATCTGATCTGTTGGGCCGAAATCTGTTGATTGGCTGGTGGGCCGAAATCTGATCTGTTGGGCCGAAATCTGATCTGTTGGGCCCGAAATCTTGATCTGTTGGGCCGAAATCTGATCTGTTGGGCCGAAATCTGATCTGTTGGGCCGAAATCTGATCTGTTGGGCCGAAATCTGATCTGTTGGGCCGAAATCTGATCTGTTGGGCCGAAATCTGATCTGTTGGGCCGAAATCTGATCTGTTGGGCCGAAATCTGATCTGTTGGGCCGAAATCTGATCTGTTGGGCCGAAATCAGATCTGTTGGGCCGAAATCTGATCTGTTGGGCCGAAATCTGATCTGTTGGGCCGAAATCTGATCTGTTGGGCCGAAATCTGATCTGTTGGGCCGAAATCATATCTGTTGGGCCAAAAGACTGATCTGTTGGGCCGAAATCTGATCTGTTTGGGCCGAAATCTGATCTGTTGGCCGAAATCTGATCTGTTGGGCCGAAATCTGATCTGTTAGGCCGAAATCTGATCTGTTGGGCCGAAATCTGATCTGTTGGGCCGAAATCTGATCTGTTGGGCCGAAATCTGATCTGTTGGGCCGAAATCATATCTGTTGGGCCGAAATCATATCTGTTGGGCCGAAATCATATCTGTTGGGCCGAAATCTGATCTGTTGGGCCGAAATCTGATCTGTTGGGCCGAAATCTTATCTGTTGGCCGAAATCATATCTGATCTGTTGGGGCCGAAATTGATCTGTTGGGCCGAAATCTGATCTGTTGGGCCGAAATGATCTGTTGGGCCGATCTGTTGGGCCAACATCAGATCTGTTGGGCCGAAATCTGATCTGTTGGGCCGAAAATCTGATCTGTGGGCCGAAATCTGATCTGTTGGGCCGAAATCTGATCTCTGTTGGGCCGAAATCTGATCTGTTGGGCCGAAATCTGATCTGTTGGGCCGAAATCTGATCTGTTGGGCCGAAATCTGATCTGTTGGGCCGAAATCTGATCTGTTGGGCCGAAATCTGATCTGTTGGGCCGAAATCTGATCTGTTGGGCCGAAATCTGATCTGTTGGGCCGAAATCATATCTGTTGGGCCAACATCAGATCTGTTGGGCCAACATCAGATCTGTTGGGCCGAAATCAGAAATGGTTTGGAAAAATGGCACTGAGAAATATCAACAGGACTGACCCAGAACATTGGTGACCAAAATCTGGGAACTCTCAACAAATAAGACATATGGCCAAGCACATGATGATGATCCTAAACTTACTACAATGATTGGCAATGGCATTCTTTGTATCCCAAACAATGAACCAACTGTGACTGCCTCAAGCTTCATGTTTATTTACTGAGTGTGATCTTTCTTCTGATATAAAGCTGTGCTTATGAAACTTCCACCTCACTTTATGTCCTCTGGCACATTTAAGCATTCAAAAATTTGTGTGCCAGCTATGTGACCTTCTCTACTTCTATACCATGTGTGGCAAGACAAAAAAAAAAGGTTGCCTGAAAAGGACAGTGATGGTAGCGATGTGGGAGTTTGTTTTCTTGACCCGGGGGCAAAAACCCAGCACGCAGTAAAAAGACACACACCAGTACAAGAAGGTTGAATTAAGAATCAACATCACAGCACTCGGGACACTCCCATTAGCGCTCTGTCCCCATCTTCAGCAGCAAACGAAAAGTTAAAATTCTGATAGTACCAGTAACAGTCTGATTGAACATCCATCTCGCCCCTCCCCAGAGTGTCAAGCGTCAGCCATATGCCCTTGTAACTCGTCGCAGTGCCATTCTCCTGAGACTGTAATGATCTATCTGTTCCTCGGCACTGTTCACTCGCTCCCAACATCCAGCTTGTCATATATCAGTTCACCACCAAGTGGTGCAGAACTGGCCAGTCTATCCGCCTGCTCATTTCTCAACACACCGGTGTGCCCTGGAGAAAATATCCAAAGGATGCTAACTACTGGGACCTCTAAAGTGATGCTTGCCACTCTGCACGGAGCATGCCTGTCTCCACCTTTCTCAGCATGCTCTGTGAGTCAGTTACAATGACGACATGTGTGTACAGCTGATTCTCAAGCCAACGGAAGGCAGCAGTGACTGCCTCCATCTCAATTCTCAAACTAGACGTGATATCATTTGCCAGACTTTGTTGTGCCAAGCGACGTCCATTTGCCTTCGCTATGAGCTCCCATGCACTTCGCCTGCCCCTCACCACAGAGCCATACCAGTACAAGATTAACTAAGCACCAGCAACAATCAGCGAAAACTCACAGGGACTGGAAAAAAAAGAGGACCAAACTAGAAACAACAAAACCATAACAGACATGAAATGACCCAAAAGACTCAGAAGCATAAGAAAGACCCAACTAGGGAAGCGACAGCTTGAAGATAAAGAAGAGCACAAACGGGTGTGAGATAAAGAAGAGCACAAACGGGTGTGAGATAAAGAAGAGCACAAACGGGTGTGAGATAAAGAAGAGCATAAACAGGTGTGAGATAAAGAAGAGCACAAACGGGTGTGAGATAAAGAAGAGCACAAACGGGTGTGAGATAAAGAAGAGCACAAACGGGTGTGAGATAAAGAAGAGCACAAACGGGTGTGAGATAAAGAAGAGCACAAACGGGTGTGAGATAAAGAAGAGCATAAACGGGTGTGAGATAAAGAAGAGCACAAACGGGTGTGAGATAAAGAAGAGCACAAACGGGTGTGAGATAAAGAAGAGCACAAAGGGGTGTGAGATAAGAAGAGAAGAGCACAAACGGGTGTGAGATAAAGAAGAGCATAAACAGGTGTGAGATAAAGAAGAGCACAAACGGGTGTGAGATAGAAGAAGAGCATAAACAGGTGTGAGATAAAAGAAGAGCACAAACGGGTGTGAGATAAAGAAGAGCACAAACGGGTGTGAGATAAAGAAGAGCATAAACAGGTGTGAGATAAAGAAGAGCACAAACGGGTGTGAGATAAAGAAGAGCACAAACGGGTGTGAGATAAAGAAGAGCATAAACGGGTGTGAGATAAAGAAGAGCACAAACGGGTGTGAGATAAAGAAGAGCACAAACGGGTGTGAGATAAAGAAGAGCACAAACGGGTGTGAGATAAAGAAGAGCACAAACAGGTGTGAGATAAAGAAGAGCACAAAACGGGTGTGAGATAAAGAAGAGCATAAAAACGGGTGTGAGATAAAGAAGAGCACAAAAAAAAAAACAAAAAGGGTGTGAGACAAAGAAGAGCACAAACGGGTGTGAGATAAAGAAGAGCACAAACGGGTGTGAGATAAAGAAGAGCACAAACAGGTGTGAGATAAAGAAGAGCACAAACGGGTGTGAGATAAAGAAGAGCACAAACGGGTGTGAGATAAAGAAGAGCACAAACGGGTGTGAGATAAAGAAGAGCACAAACGGGTGTGAGACAAAGAAGAGCACAAACGGGTGTGAGACAAAGAAGAGCACAAACAGGTGTGAGACAAAGAAGAGCACAAACGGGTGTGAGACAAAGAAGAGCACAAACAGGTGTGAGACAAAGAAGAGCACAAACGGGTGTGAGATAAAGAAGAGCACAAACGGGTGTGAGATAAAGAAGAGCACAAACGGGTGTGAGAACACACCACAAAGGAAGATTAAACAAATTAATCTACAAAAGAAAACGGACGACAATATAAACACCGCTCCACGTGTGGGTTCCGGGGCCCAATTGTGGGGAAAACAAGAATAGACCCACTGCCTCCCCAAAAGCATGTCGTAAGAGTCGGAGTGCATCTGCCTGAGAGGCAAGGAACCAGCAGTCTGCATTCAATGGAATCAGATCTGTAAAACTGATGCACACGCAACACTCAGGTTCTGGAGCATGACTGCAGTCCAGAAGTGGACGAACAACCAGAACTTTACGCCAGAGTGTACAGCTGGTGAACACAAAGAAAGAAGAAGAAACGCCGCTCATATAGGAGCTGGTTGAACGTCACCAAACTTTCACATTTTTGTTTCCTACAAATCAAATCGAATAAGAGGAAAGAGGAATAAACATGTAAGACTGCCTACTGACCTCGATGGCTGAAGAGTTCTCTCAACAACGTATCTGCTGACGTGATTACGACTGAGCTCTCCGAGGGCAGATCCGTCAGCAGTTTGTTGACTCTGGCCATCTATCAAATAAACAAAAAACTCAAATCTGTTCTCTAGATCACATTCAACATGTCTACTGTAGTAGCTAACTTCTTCAACCAATTCACCGGCTACAGAATAATTAATATCTGGGTGATTCAATTAGGCAGTCATAACACTCACCCTCGCATCACTGCAGGTTATATCAGGTCAGTGTAGCTGTCACAGGTGCTCAATTTTAACTTCCTTTGTGGCTGAACCAGGTATCTGGGACCAGCTCTGATGGCTTGACATGCAGACTGAGATTGTGTGACCTCTTGAACCAGGTATCTGGGACCAGCTCTGCTGGCCTGCCATTCAGACTGAGATTGTGTGTCTTGAACCAGGTATCTGGGACCAGTCCTGATGGCCTGCCATTCAGACTGAGATTGTGTGATCTCTTGAACCAGGTATCTGGGACCAGTCCTGATGGCCTGCCATTCAGACTGAGATTGTGTGATCTCTTGAACCAGGTATCTGGGACCAGTCCTGATGGCCTGCCATTCAGACTAAGATTGTGTGATCTCTTGAAACAGGTATCTGGGATTAGTCCTGATGGCCTGCCATTCAGACTGAGTTTGTGTGACCTCTTGAACCAGGTATCTGGGACCAGCTCTGCTGGCCTGCCATTCAGACTGAGTTTGTGTGACCTCTTGAACCAGGTATCTGGGACCAGCTCTGATGGCTTGCCATTCAGACTGAGTTTGTGTGACCTCTTGAACCAGGTATCTGGGACCAGCTCTGATGGCTTGCCATTCAGACTAAGTTTGTGTAATCTCTAGAACCAGCTCTGATGACCTGCCATTCAGACTAAGATTGTGTGATCTCTTGAACCAGGTATCTGGGACCAGTCCTGATGGCCTGCCATTCAGACTGAGATTGTGTGATCTCTAGAACCAGCTCTGATGGCCTGCCATTCAGACTGAGATTGTGTGATCTCTTGAACCAGGTATCTGGGACCAGTCCTGATGGCCTGCCATTCAGACTAAGATTGTGTGATCTCTAGAACCAGGTATCTGGGACCAGCTCTGATGGCCTGCCCTTCAGACTGAGATTGTGTGATCTCTTGAACCAGGTATCTGGGAACAGCTCTGATGGCCTGCCATTCAGACTGAGATTGTGTGATCTCTTGAACCAGGTATCTGGGACCAGTTCTGATGGCCTGCCATTCAGACTAAGATTGTGTGATCTCTAGAACCAGGTATCTGGGACCAGCTCTGATGGCCTGCCATTCAGACTGAGATTGTGTGACCTCTTGAACCAGGTATCTGGGACCAGTCCTGATGGCTTGCCATTCAGACTAAGTTTGTGTAATCTCAGGGTGGTCAAACCTTTGGGTAGCAGCCCTGAGGGGAGAGAAGGGGCAGTCGGACATAATGTTGAATAAACTACAACTTAGGCATCAAGAGGCAAAACTGACAACCACAGTTATTTAGCAAAAACTCTGTGTGTGCATACATGTGTGTACATGACTGGATATGATGAGAGAGAGAGAAATCCAAAACAATAAAGCATACATGGGCGAGATAATGAGAGGCATACATTGAGACAGACAAGACATAAGACAGTTGGATGCACAAAAAGAATAGAAATAACAGCAGAGAGGAAAAAAAAAGAGAAAGACTGCAGCCATCAGACAGACTGATGCACACAAAGAGATGTGAGAGAGACAGAGACAGAGTGAGAAGAGAAGAAGGATGCAGAGACTAACTGCCAACAGCACACTGCTCCAACTTACAGTGTCCACAATTTCTGGAGTACACCAATCTTTCTGGCTGGCTGTTGCCAGGTCACTGGGCAGGTTTATGTTGGCAATCACCTAAAGGGAGAAGAATGTTAAAAAACCAATGGAAAACATGTCACCAGTTACACAAGCATGAGACATACCAGTCATGCAAACATATCAATGCATCAGAGAATTATGAGGCAAACTAATTCATGAATCAAATCTGTATGTTGCCATAGAAAACTAGTCCATGAATCACATCTGTATGTTGCCATAGAAAACTAGTCCATGAATCAAATCTGTATGTTGCCATAGAAAACTAGTCCATGAATCACATCTGTATGTTGCCATAGAAAACTAGTCCATGAATCACATCTGTATGTTGCCATAGATAACTAGTCCATGAATCACATCTGGATGTTGCCACAGAAAACTAGTCCATGAATCAAATCTGATGTTGCCATAAAAAATTAGTCCATGAATCAAATCTGTATGTTGCCATAGAAAACTAGTCCATGAATCACATCTGTATGTTGCCATAGAAAACTAGTCCATGAATCACATCTGTATGTTGCCATAGAAAACTAGTCCATGAATCACATCTGTATGTTGCCATAGATAACTAGTACATGAATCACATCTGTATGTTGTCATAGAAAACTAGTACATGAATCACATCTGTATGTTGTCATAGAAAACTAGTCCATGAATCACATCTGTATGTTGTCATAGAAACCTAGTCCATGAATCACATCTGTATGTTGCCATAGATAACTAGTCCATGAATCACATCTGTATGTTGTCATAGAAAACTAGTCCATGAATCACATCTGTATGTTGTCATAGAAAACTAGTCCATGAATCACATCTGTATGTTGTCATAGAAACCTAGTCCATGAATCACATCTGTATGTTGCCATAGATAACTAGTCCATGAATCACATCTGTATGTTGTCATAGAAAACTAGTCCATGAATCACATCTGTATGTTGTCATAGAAAACTAGTCCATGAATCACATCTGTATGTTGTCATAGAAACCTAGTCCATGAATCACATCTGTATGTTGTCATAGAAACCTAGTCCATGAATCACATCTGTATGTTGTCATAGAAAACTAGTCCATAAATTATATCTGTATGTTGCCATAGAAAACTAGTACATGAATCACATCTGTATGTTGCCATAGAAAACTAGTACATGAATCACATCTGTATGTTGTCATAGAAAACTAGTACATGAATCACATCTGTATGTTGCCATAGAAAACTAGTCCATGAATCACATCTGTATGTTGTCATAGAAAACTAGTACATGAATCACATCTGTATGTTGTCATAGAAAACTAGTACATGAATCACATCTGTATGTTGCCATAGAAAACTAGTCCATGAATCACATCTGTATGTTGTCATAGAAAACTAGTCCATGAATCACATCTGTATGTTGCCATAGAAAACTAGTCCATAAATTATATCTGTATGTTGCCATAGAAAACTAGTACATGAATCACATCTGTATGTTGCCATAGAAAACTAGTACATGAATCACATCTGTATGTTGTCATAGAAAACTAGTACATGAATCACATCTGTATGTTGCCATAGAAAACTAGTCCATGAATCACATCTGTATGTTGCCATAGATAACTAGTCCATGAATCACATCTGTATGTTGCCATAGATAACTAGTACATGAATCACATCTGTATGTTGCCATAGAAAACTAGTCCATAATTAACATCTGTATGTTGTCATAGATAACTAGTCCATGAATCACATCTGTATGTTGCCATAGAAAACTAGTACATGAATCACATCTGTATGTTACCCCAAAAAAACTAATTCATGAATCTTATCTGTATGTTGCCATAGAAAACTAGTACATGAATCACATCTGTATGTTGCCATAGAAAAACATGCATGCTCTCAGAATTTCTACTTTTTATTAGCCAGCTGAAATACCAGAAATTCGTTATGCTGATGATACAGTATTACTATCAACATCACAAAATGGTTTAGAAAACTTATTAACCTCACTCCAAAGAAATAGTGAAAATCATAACTTATTTCTTAACATAGCAAAAACAAAGATAATGCATACAAACAAAACTGCCATGGAGAAGGAAATATATGTTAATGAGGAAAGATTGGAAGTGGTGGAAAATTTCGAATATCTTGGGTCACTGGTTACCAACGATGGTGACACAATGAAAGAAATTAAACGGCGACTATCAATTGCTCTTCAAAGACTAAAACAACTGAATAAATTATGGAATTGTACAGATAGAATTACAAAGGTCAGATTTTTAAGAGCATGCATCTTTCCCATTGCAACATACGCCTGTGAGACCTGGACACTTACTAAACAAGCGGAACAGCGCATAAATGCATTTGAATATAAATGTTACAGACAGGTTCTAAGAATATCTTGGGTAAAGAAAAGAACAAATGCATCCATACTTCAAGAGCTGAATATTGAAGAGGGTTGGCTAGTAAAGACAATAAAACAAAGAAAATTGAAATATTTTGGTCACTTGAAACGTCATAGAAGTCTAGAGAGAACAATAATGGAGGGGTATATGCCTGGGAAGAGAGGAAGAGGAAGGCCAAGGAGAAGATGGGTGCAGGATGTGGCAGATGATCTCCAGATGGGTGTATCAGACGCAGGACATCTTGCTCAGGATAGGAAGGTTTTCCGGAGGGTTGTTATGGCAGCGAGGTTCCGCGAGGGACATGCTACTGAATGAATGAATGAATTAGCCAGCTAGTGCTTTTTTGGCCCCAGATTGTGCAGTCGTGTCAGCTCCATCTCCTTCTTCAGTAACCAACAAGAGTTCAGATGCTAATGGTACCAGCTGCAACTTGATGATAACTCGGCCGCTGTTTCCCCTTCAATGTTAATCATCTTCAAGAAACTCTATACACCCCATTGTTGAATTAGTCTTTCAGTTGAATTAGTCTTTCAGTTGAATTAGTCTTTCAGTTGAATTAGTCTTTCAGTTGAATTAGTCTTTCAGTTGAATTAGTCTTTCAGTTGAATTAGTCTTTCAGTTGAATTAGTCTTTCAGTTGAATAAGTCTTTCAGTTGAATTAGTCTTTCAGTTGAATTAGTCTTTCAGTTCTTCTGCCCTGTCCATATGATCCCATAGATCCTTCCCCACATCCGCTTTATCATAAAGTAGCTCAACGTCCAAAGAAGAAGCAACAGCCATTCTATCAGCCTGCTCGTTACCTCACACATCTGAATGTCCTAAACAGAAAATTCATGTGCTCTTGAGCTGGGTTTTATCAAGTGATGCCACCAGTTTCAGCGTTCCTAAGCCTGCTCAGTGAGTCTGTTACAACATGCCAGGCTGGGCTGCTCCCAAGCTTTCAGAAAGGTGCTGTTACCGCCTTTGTCTCTTCTCTCATACTGTTTGTAGTGATGTTGTACGTCAGGCTCTCTGTTTGTAGTGATGTTGTACGTCAGGCTCTCTGTTTGTAGTGATGTTGTACGTCAGGCTCTCTGTTTGTAGTGATGTTGTACGCCAGGCTCTCTGTTTGTAGTGATGTTGTACGTCAGGCTCTCTGTTTGTAGTGATGTTGTACGTCAGGCTCTCTGTTTGTAGTGATGTTGTACGCCAGGCTCTCTGTTTGTAGTGATGTTGTACGTCAGGCTCTCTGTTTGTAGTGATGTTGTACGTCAGGCTCTCTGTTTGTAGTGATGTTGTACGTCAGGCTCTCTGTTTGTAGTGATGTTGTACGTCAGGCTCTCTGTTTGTAGTGATGTTGTACGTCAGGCTCTCTGTTTGTAGTGATGTTGTACGTCAGGCTCTCTGTTTGTAGTGATGTTGTACGCCAGGCTCTCTGTTTGTAGTGATGTTGTACACCAGGCTCTCTGTTTGTAGTGATGTTGTACGTCAGGCTCTCTGTTTGTAGTGATGTTGTACGCCAGGCTCTCTGTTTGTAGTGATGTTGTACATCAGGCTCTCTGTTTTCAAGCAGTGTCATTCCCACCTTCCTTAGGCTCTCATCACTGTACATGTATGAAGTCTTCTAAATCAAGTAGCGTCAAAGGCAGGCACCAAATGAAATGATCTATATAAATCTTCTGTCTGGCATGCAGACTGGGAGAAAGTCAAAGACTACAGGAGAAAACATTATAAAATGATATCAGATCCATAGATGGAAGAAACATTGTTGTGTGGCTCACTTTATAATAGTAACGGATAAGACACAAACCTTTCCATGTTTGTCCATAAATCCTGCACGACTGTTCACTAGCATGACTTTCTTTGGCTGGAACATGCGAGAAATCTGACAAGTCAAGTCCCATGATTTAACGGGAAACAGCTGGCCTGTAGGTGTCTCTCCAAAACTCAACAAAATGGGCAAATGTTTGGTGGACAAACTGCGAGTGATGAGGTCGGTGCTGATGGCTAGTCCAGAAGATTCTGTTGGATCACTGAAAATTCCATGACAAAAGTCAGCATATAAAGACGATATTTAGACTATAAATGAGCATGAATGAGCTTGCATGCATTCTTACGTTAGAGACAACATTCATCTCTGCTCAAAATATTCAGTCTTCAGCCCTCACCAGCTCAGGGCGGCATGATTCACTAGGATAGTACTACATGTAACTGTTGCCAGTGTCTTAACTATAACTTCTCACCAAGATGAACAGGTTACCCAAGCCAGGACTCGCTGAGTTGTAGGGGTTCAAACCTTCCGGTAGCTGCCCAAAATGAACACAAATAGTCACTCAATGATACTCACCACATTCTTCTCAAGATATTGAACTCTTCTGCCTGAAGAGCGAGCTACTCAAGCACACATTTCAATCTAAAGACCCGTTTGATTGCATCAGAGAAACAAAAAACTCACTTGTCTTTGCTGTAGATCAGCCCACAGCCAGGGTACAACAGCCGAGTGTAGGTGCCATGCTGTTCTATCATGTCACTCAGTTTGACAGCATTCCATATGCACATTTCCTTCATGACCTGAGATTGAGAGAGAAAACAGGCTGAGACAGGTTACAATGTTTATGTATGAGATATCCATCACATGGTGAGATTATTGCAATGTACATATATGAGATACACAGCACATGGTGAGATTAATGCAACATAACTATGTGAGATATGTAACACATGGAGAGATTAATACAATATAACCTTGTGAGATATGTAACAAGCTGACAGATTAATGCAAGTATAATGTCTGAGAATTGTAAAATATGGAAAGATTAATGCAAGGTTACTGTCTGAGATGTGTAAATTTGAAAAAGATAAATTAAAAGTTTCAGTTGGAGATGCAAAAAATGTAAAGGTTAACGAAACAATTATCATCGCAAAACCGATACACTTTAAATATTTCTAAAGGTGTTGTTTCAACCTACTTGGCAGGCCAGATTAAGCCTGCGGGCCATAGTTTGCCTACCTGTGCTTTAACTATACCATCTGACTCCTTTAAAGCATCATTATAATCAATGCTGTACCAAGTGAAGGGAGTCATCATTCCTCTCACAGTGTAAGAACTTGTGCAACATTTATTACTACTATCAGCGGGCAAGAATAAATGTTTTCATAAATGTCCCTTTCCTTGAATGTTACCAGCTTTTTCTAGTTATTTCTTCTTGCAATCTAGCCTACAATTTCAATTCTGATGTCAATATTTTACTTATAACCCAATGCAGTTAAGCTGAAAAATATGCAAGGAAACTGTGGGGAAACAATTCTACACTGATTTGCAAATGATTAAGTGTCCAGTGAGCAAATGTGGGACAACAATTCTACACTGATTTAAAAATGATTATTTGTCCAATGAGTCAATGTGGGAAAACAATTTTACACTGATCTACAAATGATTTGAGTGTCAAATGAGTCAGTGTGGGGAAACATCTCTAGACTGATCTACAAATGATTAAGTGTCAAATGAGTCAATGTGGGAAAACCATTCAACACTGATCTAAAAATAAGTGTCCAATGAGTAAATGTGAACTCCAACCTTAAATGGGTGGTCTGCTCGGCTTCCACACACAATCAGGGGAGACAAGCCGTTTCTGTACAAGAATGAAATAGTTGAAGCAAAAGTGTCCAGCTAGAGTCAGAAATAAAACAGCAGAATCATTTTTAAACAGAATCAAACTCAGGGCTGTCTTTGTGTTGCATTCTTTCTTCTCTGTTGACAAGATCAATTACTACATGTTTGGACTCAAGCAGTGAAAGGTCCAAACCTGCACAAATTATGTCCAAAAAAGGGATCCTTTTCTCGCCGTTGTCATATCCGGCATACAGGGCTAGACCTGTATTAATGTTATTCTTTACGTCCTTCTTAGGACGTAATTTTCTGTTATTTGAAGCCCCACTCTGGCTTTTGCCAGGGGCCGCAATATAGACAGGCCATCAATATGGCCAATTGTCTGAACGCGGTTTCTGGGACCTCTCCACGGTGATCCTCATCCGCATGGTGGCACTTTGTGTCATCGGGTGTTTATCGCTTGTGTGATGTCCTGGTGGGGTAGAAAGTCAGTCAGTCTTAGACCTGTATTTTTACAGACCAATCGGCACTTGATGGGTGGTATAGTCAAACATCCTGATTGCTTTTACTTATCAGGACATTATATGGTACCCATTTTAGGTACCAAGGTCAATTTTGTAGAAAAATAGACCTTCATGAAATAGAATCTTATGTGTGCCTGATTTTTTTTTTCTAGGGGCATCAATTTGATGTTCCAGCTGCTTGTTCATTATCCACTCTTGTGCAAGCAAACAACATACTGACTTTTCCCATTTAAAATTGAATGTTATCTTTCCAGAATTAATAACTTGTTTCACATTGCCAATTTGACTCTTTTCACCATTCCTAAAACCAGTTGTTTGCTAAAGAACATGCATTAGTCAATGCAAAGGCAACATGGTAAACACAGAACAAATTACAAGCCAAATGTACCGAAGTAACTGAGTATATGAACATAGAACAAATTACAAGCCAAATGTACCGAAGTAACTGAGTATATGAACACAGAACAAATTACAAGCCAAATGTACCGAAGTAACTGAGTATATGAACATAGAACAAATTACAAGCCAAATGTACCGAAGTAACTGAATATATAAACACAAAACAAATTAGAGGCCAAATGTACCGAAGTAACTGAGTATATAAACACAAAACAAATTAGAGGCCAAATGTACCGAAGTAACTGAGTATATAAACACAAAACAAATTAGAGGCCAAATGTACCGAAGTAACTGAGTATATGAACACAGAACAAATTACAAGCCAAATGTACCGAAGTAACTGACTATATGAACATAGAACAAATTACAAGCCAAATGTACCGAAGTAACTGACTATATGAACACAGAACAAATTACAAGCCAAATGTACCGAAGTAACTGACTATATGAACACAGAACAAATTACAAGCCAAATGTACCGAAGTAACTGAGTATATGAACATAGAAACTGACCTGAGCATGGCTCTCCATCACCTCATTGTCTAGGCTCACTACCATAAACACTTCTGATGGCTCCGAAGTTGCTAGGAAAGTTTTCATCCAATAACGAGCCTCCTTAGGGTCAGTACCAACCTTAAATACAAATAAACAAAATCTGAACCACATTGATAAGAAGTGTTTTAATGTCAAAATGAATAAGCACAGCTTTAAAAGTCTCATATATGTTAATTTCTGGCTTTAAAATCTATGGCAGAAGTCATCGTTTTCCAGATACAATCTACGGAGGCTGGCAGAAAGGATTGGAGTCTTTGCAGGAAGAAGGATATAGTATACAGTAGAAAAGCATGGGAATAAGTAGGACTGTCGTACACTGATCCCTTAAGTGAAATCCAAGAAACAGCAGCTTTCCCATGGCTAGAAGTTAGTACAACCTAACATGTTACATGTGTCAGAGAACTAAAGCTGTGTATACCTGGGGTCAGGTGTCAACAGTCTGGCCACGCCCACACATGTGTGTGTAGCTGTACAGAATAAATCAATGAAGTTACAGTAGAGAGGACTGACTTCACCGCACCAAACTTTAGACAGTTGGACTCAAGTCTCTTTCCACAGAGCAACCAGGCAAATGCTAAGAGCGATAAACAAAGCACACTATAGCTTTGGTGACCATCCCCAGGGATCTGTGTCACAAAAGACATCACAGTCAATTGAGGTTAGCTCAGTTATTACTTCATGCTGTTTCTCAGCATTCAGGGAGGCAGTAGTCAAATATAACATGTGAAACTGCAAGAGCTGACAGAAGCACTAGGACAGTAACCACATCAACACTCTATGTAGATCAGCCATTACAGGATCTCAGGGGTCCAGAGATCATCAACACTCTGTGTAGGTCAGCCATTACAGGATCTCAGGGGTCCAGAGATCATCAACACTCTGTGTAGATCAGCCATTGCAGGATCTCAGGGGTCCAAAGATCATCAACACTCTGTGTAGATCAGCCACTGCAGGATCTCAGGGGTCCAGAGATCATCAACACTTTATGTAGGTCAGCCATTACAGGATCTCAGGGGTCCAGAGATCATCAACACTTTATGTATGTCAGCCATTACAGGATCTCAGGGGTCCAGAGATCATCAACACTCTGTGTAGATCAGCCATTACAGGATCTCAGGGGTCCAGAGATCATCAACACTCTGTGTAGATCAGCCATTGCAGGATCTCAGGGGTCCAAAGATCATCAACACTCTGTGTAGATCAGCCATTGCAGGATCTCAGGGGTCCAGAGATCATCAACACTCTATGTAGGTCAGCCATTGCAGGATCTCAGGGGTCCAGAGATCATCAACACTCTATGTAGGTCAGCCATTGCAGGATCTCAGGGGTCCAAAGATCATCAACACTCTATGTAGGTCAGCCATTACAGGATCTCAGGGGTCCAAAGATCATAAACACTCTGTGTAGATCAGCCATTGCAGGATCTCAGGGGTCCAGAGATCATCAACACTCTGTGTAGATCAGCCATTACAGGATCTCAGGGGTCCAGAGATCATCAACACTCTGTGTAGATCAGCCATTACAGGATCTCAGGGGTCCAGAGATCATCAACACTTTATGTAGGTCAGCCATTACAGGATCTCAGGGGTCCAGAGATCATCAACACTTTATGTAGGTCAGCCATTGCAGGATCTCAGGGGTCCAGAGATCATCAACACTCTATGTAGGTCAGCCATTGCAGGATCTCAGGGGTCCAGAGATCATCAACACTCTATGTAGGTCAGCCATTGCAGGATCTCAGGGGTCCAGAGATCATCAACACTCTATGTAAGTCAGCCATTGCAGGATCTCAGGGGTCCAAAGATCATCAACACTCTATGTAGGTCAGCCATTACAGGATCTCAGGGGTCCAAAGATCATCAACACTCTATGTAAGTCAGCCATTACAGGATCTCAGGGGTCCAGAGATCATCAACACTCTATGTAGGTCAGCCATTGCACTCATTCAGTTCTCTACAGTATAAGGTAGCCTCTATCATGGCAAAAATACTTAGTTACCTTTGATGACATGCTTGCCAGATAGAGTATTACTATCTTTGCTTCTTTTATGTCACCTTATGAGTGACCAAGCAACTCATCATACACATACTGGTTATCCACCCTCACATACTGTAGCAGTGTGGCATAGAAATCTTTCCTGACTACAGCAGTGATCAGGGTTCAAATACCAGCTGTGGCAGGATTTTTTTCCCTACCAGTTTGCCTCTGGGATTGGCTGTCTCAAAAGGTGGCAGTAAAGGCTAGCGCACCTCATCATGCTGTGCTGACAAGTGAAAGTCTAACAATTTTACAACTATCTCAAACAGAAACCAGTTGGATCAGAATGCTTTCTTTTAACTTGTCAATCGATGTATGGAGAGCTGTTTGGTAAGGAGAGACTGAAAACACTGGCCACATCCCATCACAAGCAACAACCAGATTCTCATTCAGAATAACATCCACAGAATTTGCAAGATAATGAACTTCAATATCTTACTGTATCAACATTCTTCTGCCTTTCATCTCCCATTAGAGCATAATGTCTCAACCAACTCACGACAAGCCTTTTATAACTCTGTTGACTGGTTGAGGCTTTCTGCTATATGAGTGAGATGACAGAGCCTCTAGTCGTACGCCAATCCTCTATATGAGTGAGATGACAGAGCCTCTAGTCGTACGCCAATCCTCTATATGAGTGAGATGACAGAGCCTCTAGTCGTACGCCAATCCTCTATATGAGTGAGATGACAGAGCCTCTAGTCGTACGCCAATCCTCTATATGAGTGAGATGACAGAGCCTCTAGTCGTACGCCAATCTTCTATATGAGTGAGATGACAGAGCCTCTAGTCGTACGCCAATCCTCTATATGAGTGAGATGACAGAGCCTCTAGTCGTACGCCAATCCTCTATATGAGTGAGATGACAGAGCCTCTAGTCGTACGCCAATCCTCTATATGAGTGAGATGACAGAGCCTCTAGTCGTACGCCAATCCTCCTTATTAAGCTCTTATGATATGCTGCAGTGTTACTGATCTTAGCTTCCCTTATCAACCCAGTGACACATGGGAAAGGGGTGAGAAAGACAAACGGGCTGTACAACCCAGTGACATATGGGAAAGGGGTGAGAAAGACAAACGGGCTGTACAACCCAGTGACATATGGGAAAGGGGTGAGAAAGACAAACGGGCTGTACAACCCAGTGACACATGGGAAAGGGGTGAGAAAGACAAACGGGCTGTACAACCCAGTGACATATGGGAAAGGGGTGAGAAAGACAAACGGGCTGTACAACCCAGTGACACATGGGAAAGGGGTGAGAAAGACAAACTGATATACTACTTATGCCTTTTATCTTTAGAGGCTGAACACCTGACAACGAAAGCCATACCTGACTGCACAAAAAGTGTGTGTCTACATTATCAAACACAGCAACATGACATGGAAACAGTTTTCAAACAGTTACCTCAATCAGAAAACGGGTCAAATCTGACTTGCCATCAAATACCCTGTTGGGAGACTGCTGTGTGTTCAGATGTAGGTGTGCTGTGGTGTGCATCAGAGCAGATCCCATAGAACTTTCCATTGACCGACACCTAGAAAATAGTCACAAAAATTTAGCACCTCTCCTAAATGTCTTGTGATCTTTTATCAGGGGATCTCAAAGTAAACTGACACAAGCTGTTTTTTTGTTTGAATAGCAATTTGATTATTTATTACTGTCTACATTCTGACCTCTTCTTCTTCTTCTTTGTTCACGGGCTGTAAGCTCCGGCGGAAAGTCCTGGTTGTTCGTCCATTTGGACTTTGGCTTTGTGCCAGGGCTTGAGTTTTGTGTGTACATCCATTTTACTGACTTATTTGTGTGCAGTTGCATGTTCCTTGGCTCTCTGGCAGATGCACTCCGATTTCAAAAGAAGTGCTCAAGTCAACTCCTACGACACGTGCTCAAGTCAACTCCTACGACACGTGCTCAAGTCAACTCCTACGACAAGTGCTCAAGTCAACTCCTACGACACGTGCTCAAGTCAACTCCTACGACACGTGCTCAAGTCAACTCCTACGACACGTGCTCAAGTCAACTCCTACGACACGTGCTCAAGTCAACTCCTACGACACGTGCTCAAGTCAACTCCTACGACACGTGCTCAAGTCAACTCCTACGACACGTGCTCAAGTCAACTCCTATGACACGTGCTCAAGTCAACTCCTACGACACGTGCTCAAGTCAACTCCTACGACACGTGCTCAAGTCAACTCCTACGACACACTTGTTGAGGAGGCAGTGGGTCTATTCTTGTTCTCCCAGACAATAACCATGAAGAGAAGAGTTACAAGCTAACAGACAAAAGGAAGATCACAACACAAATGAACTCAAGTCATGATAGGTGATTTTAAGATGACAGGGGCATGGTGTTTTGATTTATGACAAAGAACTTCTATTAAAAGGTGCAACGTTCTATACAGGACCAGATATCTGATGATGATGATGACGAATATCTTTGACATAACTGTTTCGATCCCAACAGCTGATTTACGCATCCATTTTCATCTAATTAACTCATTTTTCTGGGCTCCAAGATCAAGCTGACCTGCACACTGGTACTATAAAAAGTCATTGGGAAGCAAAGGCAACTGACATGATGCTGACATCGCCCTTGATCGGTCTTTAGAAATATGAGACTAGCATCAAGTGCCCACTAGGCACCAAGATCATGGACAGATCAAAGTAAAGGGTCATTTTTTATGTCACTGCGTTTGGGGAGGGGGGGGGAGGGAGGGGGTAATCATGCTACACTCAGTCAAGTCAAGGACCCCTTTGACCCCAGTGGTGTAGTCAGCAAATGATGCAAAACTCTTTTATGTTTACAAACCAATCAGCCCTCAGTGGTGTAGTCAGCAAATGATGCAAAACTCTTTTATGTTTACAGACCAATCAGCCCTCAGTGGTGTAGTCAGCAAATGATGCAAAACTCTTTTATGTTTACAGACCAATCAGCCCTCAGTGGTGTAGTCAGCAAATGATGCAAAACTCTTTTATGTTTACAGACCAATCAGCCCTCAGTGGTGTAGTCAGCAAATGATGCAAAACTCTTTTATGTTTACAGACCAATCAGCCCTCAGTGGTGTAGTCAGCAAATGATGCAAAACTCTTTTATGTTTACAGACCAATCAGAACTCAGTGGTGTAGTCAGCAAATGATGCAAAACTCTTTTATGTTTACAGACCAATCAGCCCCCAGTGGTGTAGTCAGCATATGATGCAAAACTCTGATGTTTACAGACCAATCAGCCCTCAGTGGTGTAGTCAGCAAATGATGCAAAACTCTTTTATGTTTACAGACCAATCAGCCCCCAGTGGTGTAGTCAGCAAATGATGCAAAACTCTTTTATGTTTACAGACCAATCAGCCCTCAGTGGTGTAGTCAGCAAATGATGCAAAACTCTTTTATGTTTACAGACCAATCAGCCCTCAGTGGTGTAGTCAGCAAATGATGCAAAACTCTTTTATGTTTACAGACCAATCAGCCCTCAGTGGTGTAGTCAGCAAATGATGCAAAACTCTTTTATGTTTACAGACCAATCAGCCCTCAGTGGTGTAGTCAGCAAATGATGCAAAACTCTTTTATGTTTACAGACCAATCAGCCCTCAGTGGTGTAGTCAGCAAATGATGCAAAACTCTTTTATGTTTACAGACCAATCAGCCCTCAGTGGTGTAGTCAGCAAATGATGCAAAACTCTTTTATGTTTACAGACCAATCAGCCCTCAGTGGTGTAGTCAGCAAATGATGCAAAACTCTTTTATGTTTACAGACCAATCAGCCCTCAGTGGTGTAGTCAGCAAATGATGCAAAACTCTTTTATGTTTACAGACCAATCAGCCCTCAGTGGTGTAGTCAGCATATGATGCAAAACTCTGATGTTTACAGACCAATCAGCCCTCAGTGGTGTAGTCAGCAAATGATGCAAAACTCTTTTATGTTTACAGACCAATCAGCCCTCAGTGGTGTAGTCAGCAAATGATGCAAAACTCTTTTATGTTTACAGACCAATCAGCCCTCAGTGGTGTAGTCAGCAAATGATGCAAAACTCTTTTATGTTTACAGACCAATCAGCCCTCAGTGGTGTAGTCAGCAAATGATGCAAAACTCTTTTATGTTTACAGACCAATCAGCCCTCAGTGGTGTAGTCAGCAAATGATGCAAAACTCTTTTATGTTTACAGACCAATCAGCCCTCAGTGGTGTAGTCAGCAAATGATGCAAAACTCTTTTATGTTTACAGACCAATCAGCCCTCAGTGGTGTAGTCAGCAAATGATGCAAAACTCTTTTATGTTTACAGACCAATCAGCCCTCAGTGGTGTAGTCAGCAAATGATGCAAAACTCTTTTATGTTTACAGACCAATCAGCCCTCAGTGGTGTAGTCAGCAAATGATGCAAAACTCTTTTATGTTTACAGACCAATCAGCCCTCAGTGGTGTAGTCAGCAAATGATGCAAAACTCTTTTATGTTTACAGACCAATCAGCCCCCAGTGGTGTAGTCAGCAAATGATGCAAAACTCTTTTATGTTTACAGACCAATCAGCCCTCAGTGGTGTAGTCAGCAAATGATGCAAAACTCTAATGTTTACAGACCAATCAGAACTCAGTGGTGTAGTCAGCATATGATGCAAAACTCTGATGTTTACAGACCAATCAGACCTCAGTGGTGTAGTCAGCAAATGATGCAAAACTCTGATGTTTACAGACCAATCAGCCCTCAGTGGTGTAGTCAGCAAATGATGCAAAACTCTTATGTTTACAAACCGATCAGCACTCAATGGGAAATATGGTCATCACCCCTCCCATGTCATGACAATACAATTTTAATTTTGTTTTTAAATATCTATGTGAACGAGGATAATAGATATAGAAATACCTTTATAACATGTATTGTTTGAGCCTCTGTATAATCTTAACCTGGTCAATTTATAACATCTTATAATAAACACATACACACACATACATGATAATGGTTGTCACAGATAAACATCTTTGGTTCACACAAGTACACACAAATTCACATCTCACCATCTGTCAAGTTGACGTAACAACTGGACTCTCATTATTGTCAGTTTGCAGTTTTTCAAGCCGAAAGCTGAAGATATTTGTCTGGTTACTGGGAGCATGATGGCTTTACCGGATTCAACCTGTTTTCTGGCAGATCAAAAACAACAAAACAATAAATGTAGGAAGTTAGAATGCTTAAGTCTGCGTACAAATAAAAGTGAATGCTTAAGTCTATGTACAAATAAAAGTGAATGCTTAAATCTGTGTACAAATAAAAGTGACTGCTTAAGTATGTGTACAAATAAAAGTGAATGCTTAAGTCTATGTACAAATAAAAGTGAATGCTTAAGTCTGTGTACAAATAAAAGTGAATGCTTAAGTATGTGTACAAATAAAAGTGAATGCTTAAGTCTGTGTACAAATAAAAGTGACTGCTTAAGTATGTGTACAAATAAAAATGAATGCTTAAGTCTATGTACTAATAAAAGTCAGTCCAGGAATATTTTCACACTGCGGATACATTGAACATATGGTTCTATATCTGTTATATCACTGTTATTTTTGTAATATATAGTATATCAATTCAGCAGAAGTTTAGAAGATATTTCAGCACAGAAGAAGTCTTGAAGTTATGACACCAGCACAGCGGAAGTCTAAAAGTTATTTCACCAGATATGACACAAGCACAACAGAAGTCTAAAAGTTATTTCACCAGATATAACACCAGCACAGCAGAAGTCTAGAAGTTATTTCACTAGATATGACACTAACATAGTAGAAGTGCTAACGTTTTTTCACTAGATATGACACCAAAACAGCAGAAGTCTAGAAGTTATTTCACTAGATATGACACCAACACAGCAGAAGTCTTGAATTTATTTCACTAGACATGACACCAACACAGCAGAAGTCTTAAAGTTGCCAGCATGAAGGTAGCTGGTAAAAGAAACTTGTTAGTCAAATTTAAACTGGTAAGACAAGGAAGAAATGGCCCCCACATATCCTGATCTCATATATACTTGAATAGTACAGAACAGGATAAGAACAAGCCAACCCTACAAAGACTGCTTCTATTGTCTCTCTCTATACTAAGTTCAGTGACATATTAAGACTGTTTATTCTCTATTACATGCACATGTGATCAGGTGTTTGTACCTGGGTGACTTGACTTACAATTGCTTTTTTCTGGGTGGTCGGGCAGAGTCAGCTTACAAATGACCTTGGATGGCAGATTGACTTACTTATAAATGATGTGGGCTATCAGCCTGAATGTTGCATTAAGAATCAACATCACAGCACTCAGGAACTCCCATGAGGGCTCTGTCCCTATCTTCAGCAGCAAGCGAAGAGTTTCAAATCTGATAGCATAAGTAACTGTCTGTACATCCATCTCACCTTTCCCTTGAGTGTTTAGCGTCAGCCAGATCCCCTGGTAACTCATTGCAGCACCATTCTCCTCAGACTGTAATAATCAATTTGTGAATCTGCACTGTTCACTCGCTCCCAAAGGGCCCTCAAAACATCTAGTTTGTCAATAATCAATTCACCACCAAGTGGTGCAGAACAAGCCAGCCTATCTGCTGGATAGTTTTCCAACACACTGGTACACCCGGAGTAAATATCCGAAGGACGCTATTTATCCTGGACCTCTAAGTGAGCATACCTGTCTCCACCTTTCTCAACATGCTATGTAAATCAGTTATAATCATGGCGTTTGTGTACAGCTGATTCTCAAGCCAGTCTATCTGCCTGCTCATTTCCCAACACAGCGGTATGACCTGGAGAAAAATCCAAAGGATGCTAACTATCCTGAACCTCTGGAGCAATGCTTGCCACTCTGTATGGAGCTTGCATGTCTCCACCTTTCTCAACATGCTCTAAGAATCAGGTACAGTTACAAGTGTGTACAGCTGATTCTCAATCCAGAGGAAGACAGCGGTGACTGCCTCCACCCAATTCTCAAACTAGATTTTGTGATGTCATATGCTATGCTTTGTTGCACTAAGCAATGTCCATTCGCTTTTGCTATGAACCCCCATGCACCTTGCCAGCCCCTCGACACAGAGCCATCTGTACAGATAATCCTATCACCTGGGCAGGAATTGTCATAAATCATTTGTTGCACTTCTGATTCTGCGGTACCAGATGACCAGTCCCTGCATAAAGGATCTAAAGTTCTTCTTCTTCTTCTTGTTCACCGGCTGTGAATTCCGGCGGTAAGTCACGGTTGTTCGTCCAAAATGGACTTTTGGCTTTTACCTTGACCTGAGTTTTGCGTGTACACAGTACGGATCTAAAGTGATTAGAATCCTACACAAGTGTGATTCTTATCCAGACTCTCTGACCCTCTCCTCTCCCCGCCTCTCCTCTCCCCGTCCAAATGTATCAAGCCTGCACATATGTCTACTATCAGGCTGACCCTCTCCTCTCCCCGCCCAAATGTATCAAGCCTGCACATATGTCTACTATCAGGCTGACCCTCTCCTCTCCCCGCCCAAATGTATCAAGCCTGCACATATGTCTACTATCAGGCTGACCCTCTCCTCTCCCCGCCTCTCCTCTCCCCGCCCAAATGTATCAAGCCTGCACATATGTCTACTATCACTCTGACCCTCTCCTCTCCCCGCCTCTCCTCTCCCCACCTCTCCTCTCCCCGCCCAAATGTATCAAGCCTGCACATATGTCTACTATCACTCTGACCCTCTCCTCTCCTCTCCCCGCCCAAATGTATCAAGCCTGCACATATGTCTACTATCACTCTGACCCTCTCCTCTCTCCTCTCCCCGCCCAAATGTATCAAGCCTGCACATATGTCTACTATCACTCTGACCCTCTCCCCTCCTCTCCTCTCTCCTCTCCCCGCCCAAATGTATCAAGCCTGCACATATGTCTACTATCACTCTGACCCTCTCCCCTCCCCACCTAAATGTATCAAGCCTGCACATATGTCTACTATCAGGCTGAGCCAGTTTTTACCTTGGCTGCCAGAGCTTATGAATGATGCTGGATAATGTTCTGGGAGGTAAAGGTGGCTGCAAGAGCTTATGAATGATGCTGGATAATGTTCTGGGAGGTAAAGGTGGCTGCCAGAGCTTATGAATGATGCTGGATAATGTTCTGGGAGGTAAAGGTGGCTGCCAGAGCTTATGAATGACGCTGGATAATGTTCTGGGAGGTAAAGGTGGCTGCCAGAGCTTATGAATGATGCTGGATAATGTTCTGGGAGGTAAAGGTGGCTGCCAGAGCTTATGAATGATGCTGGATAATGTTCTGGGAGGTAAAGGTGGCTGCCAGAGCTTATGAATGATGCTGAATAATGTTCTGGGAGGTAAAGGTGGCTGCCAGAGCTTATGAATGATGCTGGATAATGTTCTGGGAGGTAAAGGTGGCTGCCAGAGCTTATCAATGACGCTGGATAATGTTCTGGGAGGTAAAGGTGGCTGCCAGAGCTTATGAATGATGCTGGATAATGTTCTGGGAGGTAAAGGTGGCTGCCAGAGCTTATGAATGATGCTGGATAATGTTCTGGGAGGTAAAGGTGGCTGCCAGAGCTTATGAATGATGCTGGATAATGTTCTGGGAGGTAAAGGTGACTGCTATGACAATGACCACATTATCTATCACACCGAGTATTAACTGGTCTATACAAATGTGGCTGGCATCATATACCCAAGGATCCTCAAAGCAAGGAAATAGGCCCTTTCTTAATTACCATACATAATGTTAATGTAACATAAAGTAACGGTTCCTTTACTACACACAGCCGGATTGCCAGTTTAGCTGTTCATACTTTACTGGATATGACGATGTGCCTACCACAGTGCCAGCTATATATGCACCACAAGGTATCCATGCGGCTCCTTTAGTGTTACTTAACCATAGCAATACAATTGCTGCACGTTTCATCACTGGACATTGGCATGCAAAACAACAATGATATCTTGATATTGGTGAGTGAGTCATTAGGACAACACACTAAGCGATTAACAGGCTCTCCTCCGAACTTCTACCCCCGCATTATGGCGGCCAAACAAAAATCCTTACGGGGCTCAGTCATATTAAAAATATGTGAACTTCCGGCGACGAACGAATCGTGGCAAAACTAGGATCGGCTCCGTATAACGAAACAAATGCTCTAACAGGGTCTCAACGATATGTTAATTGTGGACCTGTTTCTGTGACTATGCCTCACCGCTGACTGTATCCCCTGCGCCGCTACACGCTACACGCGGCGCGGATGGGGCTAATAAACTAGATGGTTGGGACTCACGAGCAGCAACTACCACATCTCCTGCAACTTCCTCCAATTAATTTGCTTGTGAGTCCCAGGCAACTAGTTTAGCCCCCCATCCGCGCCGTGCGTAGTGGCGCGGGGGATACTGTCGGCGGTGAGTGTAACCGCGTTTTGCGCATGCCGAAAAAGTTTGAGGACAACAACGAAGCTAATCTGCGTTGGCGCACATGGTCTCCCACCATGTCGCTTTTATCATCAGTAATGTTGCGTGTCTCAAAATTGTCAATGGTCGCTAGTATCGTCTGCAGAAACGCTTGAAAGTGTCAATGGTCGCTATTGTCATCTGCAATGTTGTGTCTCTTGAAATTGTCAGGTAATCCTAGTTTTGCCGCGCTTCGTTCGTCGACGGAAGTTTGCATATTTTTAATAGGACTCAGCCCCGTAAGGATATTTGTTCGGCCGCCATAATGATAATGCCGGGGTAGAAGTTCAGAGGAGAGCCGATTAACATATCAAAATCCGGTGACACAAAGTAAGTGCAAAAGTTCCCTAAGTGGATGAGAATTCCCAGGTTCAAATGTCAGAAACCCGCTTCAACTGTAAGGTTACATTGAGGCCCCGCGCGGCTGCAAGTAACCTGATCACCAGACAGTACAGGGTGTGGTAGGTTTTTATGATTCCGGCAAACGGCATCATATTATGGCCGCCATATTATGATGCCGTTCGGAGGAGAGCCCAAAATTACTGATTTTAGTATTTTTACTCTTAATGAGCACGTAACACTACAGTCTGTTTTACATGCTCATTAAGAGTAAAAATACGAAAATACCAGTTAAAAATCAGTCTCACATACAGTATCATTTTATACATAATTAAAAATATCTC